CCTGTGTACCCGGTGAGGTGAGTTTTAAACTTTTCTAGTGGGGCAAGCCACCTAAATGGTGGGTTAAAAAATATAGCGTCAGGAATAGATGTTTGTGTTCCTGACCCTATAGTAATCCTTTAAGAATATGATTTCAAGCTTTATTACTAAACAAGAAAACAGAATTAAACACAGACACAATAGTTAATATGCAGCATTTTTTTTATTGATTTTTTATTTTGTTTTATAAAAAATATTATACCAAAAATATAGTAAAACAGAAGAGGAAAAAATAAAATTTAAAATAATAATAATAAAAAAAATTTAACTCCTTCCGATATTGGAGAGAGATGCATGGTTAATATCATGTAATGGACCACAGGAGGAAGAGAATAGAATTAGTAAGAAAATTGCTTTTAACCTGTTCAATCCCAGCAAGCCAAAATTTTACCTGTGCATACAACAGATGACACTAGAAAGTTTAGTGAATAACTTTGGTTACAGAAAAAACTAGGGTGGGTATATTTCTTTAATGTGGGGCATAACAAGCACACAACCAGCCTGTTCCTGGAGATGTCCATGGCAGTCTTTATTTTACCAATGATTTAAAGTGGCAATGTAGTCCTATGTGGCATAACAGATTTAAAGGGACAATGTGGTCACCCTATATGGAGCATGTAAAAAAAAAAAAAATCTATCATCTAATTTCTTAGATCTTTGTAATAAATACATTCCTGTGGTTACTTTACTCATTTTGGTGAACTGGTAATGGTTGCACAAAATTATTAATAATATCTCAGAAATATTCACTAAACATCAAGTTGTTACATGTTTACCATGAAGATGCATTATATTGATTAAAATAGCATGTTGGAAATAAATCTGCATATGAATATAATTCCAACACTGTTTTTTTGATAAGTCTGCTTCCAACTCACCACATCTCACTGTTTAAAGAATAATACTTTGTAATTACTGTTCTCATATTACACTGAATGCTGAAGAGAGCTAAAAAAAAATCTTTAAATAGACGACAAAAAGAAACAAAACAACAACAGGCATTTGAAAATAAATACATGAAAAGAAACAGTGTTGCATTCAATGAATTGTGGATCGACACTAAATAACCTAGGGATACTACAAAGACAAAGAATACTATTAATTAGAATAATGATCCATATATCCTCTTCAACACAAATAAGGGTGGGACAGCCCTGTAAGGACCAAGTGCTTAATGTCACATGTAGGATCTAGGCCAACAAGTTTGGCAGGGGGGTTGAGGCCAGATCTGGTCAAACACCAGATCCCGAGATGTGGTAGAACTAAAACTCTCAGGATGGTTCACTAGCCTTAAGACATGCAAAGCATTAGATGAATTGTAGTTTAATACCACCTGTGAATCCACCTTTAAGCCACATATTTTTTTAAGTCTTTTGCTGTCAGTATAACGAACAATGACCACTTTTAATCACATGACAAGTATGTTTACTGCCCCATAGTTCCCCAAAGTAGTAAAGCTCTGTGTCCAGAAGCAAAGCCATAATATGAAATAGATTCATGTTTAAGTAACATGAATATGTTATATTCATGTCAATTAATTATATATATACTATTTTTTTATAGTGGGAGTACACTTTCCCCACGGACTGGAATTGCATTGTACTGATTTAACAATATTAAATGATGTCCATCAGCTCCCATGGCAGTGAAAATGATAATCTGCTTTAAAATTATGTAGGATAAATATTGGGGAAAAACACCCCAAATAATCCTTATGGGAAGACAGGTTATTAAGCAATTAACTATAGGTTATCATTAAAGATGCAGTGTTCTGTCTTGAGGTCCTCTTTTTGAATGGTGAGGCCCTTCCTTGGAGTTTGAATGGTAAAGAAGAGTAGCAGAAAGACTAATAAATACTATTTACAGATAAAAGGTGGAAAATGTGTGACTATACAAAAGAGAACGTGGCAACTTGGAAACTAATGTGAAAAGCCTTTTGTTCAAATGGTTAGCCTATATGGATAAGAGATTAGCATTTTGTAGGGTCCAAACACAATATTTACCTGTCTGGTTAATGTTAAGTGTAGCGTTGGGTTAGTAATGTTGCCAAGAGTTTTTAGCCAGGCGGAAAAATAATATCCTACTTGATGTGGTTTTTACACAAGCAGTGTCATGGGCCTTTTTTATCTTTATTATAAAACTATAAGGCACTCAAGAATAAGGATGCTGAATATTAGGGATTTAAGGTAATACTCAAATTTATGGGTGAAATTCTAACTTTTACAGCCTTGAAATTATTTGGATAAAGTAACATTGCACTCCAAAACGAAGGAACTGTCTTCTGTACAACTCTAAGCCAAGTTTAAGCTACATTTCATTGGCTAGCAAACAAACTTTTGACAGTCAGATGGATTAATATAATAGTTGTATGCCCCTTCCAGCAGGGCACTACTGGACAGCTGACTCCCAGCATTAGCTTGATTTTACACTTTCTTATTAGTTACAGCCATACTATCAATTAATGTATGACAAAGACAAAGCAATGTTGATGCAGTAAAAGTAAATGTTTTCCTCTTGGTGCCGTTTCTTCAAATTTTCTCTGCCATTTTAAGCAAGGAAGTAATAATTATCCCCTCTTTGGACTTAACTCATTGTCATCCAATGACTGCCAAATGATGCCAGGGACAAAACGAAGAAAAAAAAAAGGGGGGGGGAATTCAAAAAGAATCTCATTCAATTTAAACATCCATCATTCCTCAATGTCAATTCAGAGTCTCAGGTCCTTTCAGCCATTGAAGGTGTGTCTAATTTAAAGGGCTGGCTCAGATGGGATGGCTACGTCAGCTTGGAAAGGGAATGGTGGAGTAGGATTGTAAGGGAAATTGTGGGAATTAAATCCGCTATTAGGATGTCGCATTAACTCTTCTGTCAATTTCTATCACACTGGTGGGCTCATTCTGCCCAAAATCTGAACTGAACCTGGGAAACAAAGGAGAAAAAAGTATGTTACAAAAGTATGAAGAATAAGACAAGTATTTGACAAATTAAATTTGTTGCACAACCTGCCGTCTCTCAATGGTTCTTCTGCTGTTTGAATACGTTCCTTTCTATTCCTAATCATGACGCCTCACTGCACCTTAAAGAATTCATTCTAGTTCTTCTTTACTGCATCGTCCTAATCCCTGCTAAACCCATTGTATCACCTGCCACAGTCTAACTCGCTCCATTCTCTCATTTGCATTGTACTATACCATCCTGTACTTGCTAACTCAATCCTCACACCACATTCCCCTATCTGAACTACCAGGGTCATCTCACCTTTGCCCCAATGTCTTTCTAACTACCTCATCCCAATTAAATGTGTCTTCTTACCTTTAATATAGTAACATACTTTTAATAACTTTATCCTTTCACCTGTGCCACGCGCACCAATCCCTATCCGCTTAATGCTGCCACAATGCCCTCCCCGCTAGCAACGTCTTCTCACCTGTGCCGTAGCACTCCCTCTGTGCTGCTGTCATTTGATGCTGTGTATGTTTTTTCATGTGGGAAGCTGTACTCCTCCAGTACAGATACTCGATGCTGCGAGAGACTCTCTATGTGTTTCTCCCAAGCATCCTGGGTGTCCAAGGCCACTGCTGAGGTGTGAAGATCTTCTATGGCCCGATGCTCCTCAAAGATCAGGAGGTTACGTGAGCGCACTGTGAGAAAACACAATGGAGTCAGCAATTCCTTCCAGCCTGCAAACTGAAAGTCTTTGGCATCCACTATCATTGGCACTAGGATGACGTCTGGTTACATGACACAGTTAAGAGCTACCATAGTGACTGTGCTGTGTGTCGCAGATCTTATAATCCTTTTAACAACAATCATAGAGAAAAGATCAATGAAATGCATTTCTTGAAGTAAGTAACGTACACACACCCACATTCAGATATACTGTGGGGTGTATATTATAGTACAGAGTTACTGTGGATCAAGAAGCTTTATTATAAAGCTGTACTGAACACTTCAAGGCTTTCTGTGCAACTTACTAACAGCAAAAATTTAAAAAACCCTCATTTTTATGTATAACGGTATATGTCAGCAATTTTGGTAGATGAATAAATGATCATTCAGGCTTACTGCACCAACAGTTAAAAAGACACAAAGAGCACTCAAGATGCAAGGATGCTCCTTATCAACATTTAAATTTTCTCTACATTAAAGCCACATGCATGTTTTGTTGCAAAACATACCAAAACCACTTGCACTATAACACATTTAATAAAGAAAAGAAAAACACAACAATACAAACAAAATACAGCCCATTACTAAACTTTAAATAGCTAATGGGTTGTGGAATAATTAGGAGAAGTGATGGTACCCCTTCAATATATGTTACATAATATAGGCAAGTTTATATACTATTCTCAAATTGTTATGACTGGTCACTTACCAACAGAGGCCGCATAGGACTCTGAAACAGGATGTCGACTCTGTTCCGGCATTGTTTTGGTGGCTGTAGGGTATGGGTCGAAATTTTGTGTGAAGCTGCCAAAAATGACCGCAAAGCACAGGATAACCACCTAGGGGAAGTAAAAGAGACAGCCAATAAGACAAATAGTTTATTGAGTCATTGAGAGAAAATAAAGAAAACAGAAAAAAAAAAAAATGAAATAGAAACCCAGGATGATCATAATCTAACAAGTCTCCATATTTAGGTACTTACATGATATCCTGGCAGCACAATATGATTTTTACCAGATATTACAAAAAATGCCTGCTACAGAACCCCATTTGAGGAGACTTTGAGGAATAATGACCTATAAAGTGTAAATATATCAATGAGAACTTTCTGAAGGTCTAGCTGTTATTTGTATTACATGTTTAACCAGTCTGGCTAGTGGGTGCTGGTAATTACTACTTTGCAATAGATAATCTCTCTATAAAGTCTTATCATCTTGGGATCTGGAGTTTGAAGTAATTAGAGGGTAGTGAAAAGGGAGGTAATTGATAACAGACATAAGGGAGGAATAAGCTCATGTATCAAGTGATAAAGTCAACTTAAGAAATTCTAGACAGACGTGGTGGGTGCATTGGATGTGATCATTAATTAGTTTATTTGAATTGTGATCATTAGTTAGTTTATTTAGGAAACAGAAAGAACACCACAGAGCACAATTAACTTTAAAATAGTTTAAAGTGATCCTGTTACTATAATATTTTGATGCTTTAATTCTTATTAAGTAATTGAGAAAAATGCCTAACTCCAGAGCCGTCAGATATCCAAATTCCTCCTTATGTTAAATAGTCAAAAGTACTTGAGTAAGCTATGTAAAATATTGCTTGTAGAAAGCATGGGAGCCCAGATCTTTTCTGCAATCGGTGAGGGCATAGTATATTCTAACGCTTACCATAAGGCAGGTTCCTGTCTGTGTGCTTGCTGCTTTGTAGGTACGGGACATTTTTCCAGCAACCATAGCTTGAAGACGTTGCAGCTGTTGTAAGAGGGTTCTGGGAAAAAAGCAGACACATGGAGGGTCAATGTATGAACACATGCATACAGTCATTAACTTTTAGCTTTAGAAATGTGTGTACCTGTTAGTCGTCTCTAGAACCTCCACCTTTTTACGTAGCTCACTGTTTTCTGATGAACAGTTTTCAACCCTACAGGAATAAGGACATTGTTAAAACAATTATAGACACGCAATCTTTAAACAACTGGAAGTGAACATAATTAATTCATACTTAAAAATGTTGCCACTATGTATAATATCTTGATTTACCACAACAGTTGGGACTGTTAACGGACATTCACTGGTGGAGTGAGTGCCCGTTGGAGATTTACCTATAATTAGGGATGCTGATAGCAACAGGTTTTTATTAACACCGGCTGATTTTAACACTCACCCCTAAATTTTCAATAATGTTACATGACTGTTGCCAAGCATTCAATTCAGGATGTCACAATACCATCATACAGAAAGAAAAATGTAAGCTAAAGTAAATAAGCTGCTTGTTATTTCTAAAAAAAAATAAAAAATAAAAAAATCAGAAATGTGCTAAAAAGCACATCACAAGACTAATGTACAGTGTGGTAAGAATTGTGAACTAGTTTGTGTATAAAATAATATTTTTCTGTATAAGTGATTAGGAACATAATCGTAACATTGTAAAAAACAACAACTATATCTGATAAACATTTACTAATGTAAATATAATGTAAAATATTGGGAGGTATGAAATCAGGACAGGGTGAGCAGAAAGATCAGAGAAAGCATTGGCAAGCCCACCTTGCCAATACTTTCCCATTGGCAAAAAAACATGTTTCGTACGTTAGCCTTCCGTGAAGACTGACTGGCAATCGTGCTGGCCAACCCTATTTAAAGCTGCACAACAGCTTGATATTACTGTGAGCTGGGCAAGCATGCCTAATGCTGTGCTCCAGATGTGCGTTCCCTTCTGCAGACATGATTTTTGGCACCTACAGAAGTACAACACCAAACCTGGGATGGCAAGATTTAAGGCCATATTTCGGACTGTTTAATCAACCTTGGGACTGTTAGAAAGTATGACATAAGTGGAAACAATTCCAACTAATCAACCAAATTGTGGTAAGTAAAATATTATGTATATTTGGGAAGAAACTTGTCTAAAGCAATGTGGAACCAAAAAGGTTTAGAATCGATTACCTTTTTTCTAGGCTATCCATATATTCTTTCTTCTTTCTGCGACTTTCTTGAGCAGAGATCTGGAATAATAAAAAAAAAAAAACATACAATTGTGATTTAAACTGACCTCATATTATCTGTGAAAAGTAAGAGACATACATAGCTAAGGAAAGTATTAAAATATTAATATATTACTTGATTCACAGAATATTTTTTTTCCATGCATTTTCTTTTCCAATAATAATAATAATAATTTGCTCAACAATAAAGAATGGTTTGTGCAGAAGTATCCCTAGTTTTTCATCAGAATGTTTTAATGTACCCTGGTTCAGTCACTTATTGCAGGATGCAAAACACATATCTAGTTTTTAAGTTAGAACCAATCTCCTGTGTCATAAGTGCTTCTCATTCATCAAACTTCTCACTGCTAGATATATTTAATTATTTAGCTAGTTGGAAATGTCTCAGGAGTCAGACACTGTTTTACTAAACATTGTGGCTACATGCCTGTGCTAGCCATCCTTAGGGGTGTATGACCTATGGGGTCATGCTCCAACAGGGAACATCAAACTAATGACTAATCTCTGTAGTCCCAGTCATGGTTTGAACCACAGCAGTATCATGTTATCAACAGGGATCGCACTGCAATAATAATTGTGTATATAGAGCAGGGGTACATAATTGCCAAGTGGAAAGTCTAAAGAAATGTAGGCACTGAGCCCGCAATAGGGATAGGTTTGTCAATATATGCCAAACATATCCCCATTACGGACTCCGTGCTGGTAATGGGGATAGATGCTTTTGACAAACCACATTTATAGGATAGATGCTTTTGACACACCATATTTATATACACATAATATGGTGTATTTCCACAGTCTGTGGGCTTCTTACCTTATTCTTAATTTTACGACGGATTTTCTTCAGAGCCTTTTCTTCAGCTTTTGTGAGTGGTAGTTTTGTAGGAATGGGGTATCCTTCTGCTACCAGGGTTCTTTTTTCTTCCTCTGTTAGCAAGAGAGGACCAGAACCTTGCAGTTTCTGTTAGGGGAGAATCAGAATGAAACTTTGAGCAATGACTGCCATATGACACATGCACAGCATTCCATCATTATCATTTTAATTTTACACCTGACTTTGCCCTAAGTGACAAGTCTCTGGACAAATCAGTCTAATTCAGTCTTCAGGATTGTTACTACCAACCACTGATTGCTATCTCTCCAATAGAACTAAACTAGACGCTTAACAGGCAATATATATAATAAAGGAAATATTTATACTGAAAATATAGGCCTTGGAAATTTTTAAATCCATCTTTAAAAGAACAGAAAATAAAATCTTCAACCAATCATGTAAGTTTTCTTGTAATTGTTCTATTTATAGTTAAATCCCACCTTTTACAATATTGTAAAGCGCTGAAGAATCTGTTGGGGCTATATAAATAGCAATAATAATAATATTAATAATAAATGAGGGTACATTTTAACACAGTATCTTTTATTTTAAACTAGGTGTCACTAGGGGGCGAGCTTGTGCAAGAGATGCAGATCTGAGCAGTTAGATGCACACAGAAATTTTCATCATGTTAGGTCCTCCTCTTAACGGACAGCAGAAATAATAGAGTCACATTTAGCAATAAAATAAATTATAAAAAGACTTTTAAATTCAGATAGACGTACAAGGCCGGTTGCTTGTTTTGTTTTTTGTTTGTTTTTTTAAAGTTAGGATTACTAAAGGTAATTTAGTAAAGATATTTGTTTGCCCAATTCTATCACAGCAGATTTAAGAAGCTGTGATCAACAAATAACAAGAGGGTGACTGGAGTACAGCCATGAACATGTGTCAAACTGTGACAACCAACACTGTGTTGCTGTAAAAGAGACTTACATGTGGAGCAGTGAGCAGTGGGGAGTTAGAGAGAGCGGAGGGGCTTCGGGCGGTCACTTTGCCACAGGACTGTGATTGGACAGGGCTTGATGGTGGTAAAGATCTGCTAGGACTCTGGCAACCCTCGGAGTCACTTCCATGGCTGCTAGGTGGAGTCGGTGGCAGCTGAAGAGTATCAGTTGATGCAGCTAAAAGTGAAAGAAGTTAATTTTTATTGAAAGGAATATGAAAGAGACACTCACTATTAAAGTGGCACAGTCACCTGTAGGACATATCTTTCTAGAAGTCACTTTAGAACAATAATATGAATAGATATCTCATTTGACGATATCAAGTGGTTTGTGTGCAAGTGGCAAATTTGCAACTTTCAAAAACTTCAGTGATAGTTACTGTTAAAAAAACAAAAAAAACAATGCTGGTGCAAGCGTGTGATGTCACCGGCCAATCAAATTCTGTGATTTGCAGAGTAGATATGTGGAAATTCAATCTGTTTGAACGGTCTGACACTATATGCTAAAAATCATCGTCACCTGGTAGCAAAGTGTAGTGACTTCATAAGGGTTGATATGGCTAGAGAGTTTTGCAGAACAGATATGAAATAAAACACTAGAAATCTGATGCTTCCTAAAATATTTTTCTAAAAGACTATCACAGAATTTATTTCATGTGCAATCTGCTATGTACAGAAATCTGCTTATCACAACAGAGATTTAAATTCATTAGCTAATTGTGGCATTATCTTGTTTTCCCTCAATGTTATCACTGGTTCATCATAATCCTTTAAATCTTAATGGTTAGAGTGTAATGGCTGAAAATCACATTACACTATGGTTGCCTAATGAAATGACCTTTTGCTTTAGGTCAAAGGCTTGTGATTTTTTTGTTGGAGGAGTACCTTCTTTGGGGCACAAGTTAAGAAATTGGTCCACTTCGTGCGGCTCCAGTTTGATCTGAGGCAGCAATTTAGGATTCAATGTCTTGTTCTGAAAAAAGTCATAAGAGATAAATTGAATGAAATTTGTGGCTGCACACCAAGCTTGTGTACAGTGAGTAAACAGCAGCATGGTTGTTCTGCTTGCCAATAGATGCAATAAAGTAATTTTTAACATATTCAGTGGTTTCCTGTGGCCTTGTTCCTGCTTAAGGTTTGTTAACCTGTATACAGTTCCACTAAATGAACACATAGTGCAAAGCACACAAACGTCCTTTAGACAGACATGCGTCTGTTAGCCTACCATGACGCAGAAGCACTTTAAATAGCACACCAGGTTTATGCATTGTTCAATTATATAGTTTAGATTCACGTCTGCATTGCTATGGCAACATCCTCATTTATGAAACAACGCTGTATCACAACGATCTGTCTGAGTGAATGAGAAATTATATTTGGCAGCTACAGACAGTATGAAAACCTGATATAATTTTACTTTCCGAATTTAGGAAAAGAATAAAGTGTTTTGACTCTCTCCAAATGATAATGACGTGTTGCATTGAATACTACACATCTCATTTTAGGAGTACATATCTGAGAAGGCTCAGATTAATAACTCAGATTTTTTTTGATATTTTTTTTTTATCACTTTTGGAACATTCTAATCAAGCTAACAACTACAGTTCCATGGCTCCATCCCCAAGTTTAATATCACACTCTTCAAGAACCGGTTTAATATAAATGTGGGCAGTCACTTTGCCAGGGGACTGCCCACATTACGACTGCACTGATATTGCAGAATTAACATATTAGGTTTAGTCTTCTATCAAGGGGTTGTGCAAGGGGGCTCTAGATATGTTGCTTACGTCCTCTTTAAAGCTTTTTTTGTGTCTGCAATGGAAACAATAGTTGCTCCCGCTATTGGGAGTGATGGTATTTTGTGGCAGGGATACAGATGGGGAAAATGCGACAGAAATTTTTAAACACAACTTCTCACACTATGAATGCCATGCTTACCTCATCAGAAGCTGGAAGCTGAGGTTGGACTTCGATCTCTGGGGGCGCAGGGGTGGTACTAATCGTCAGAGTAACAGAAGGAGTGAGGCCTGGGTTTTCTTCAAGGGGCATTTCCATCTTAATTTTGGATGTAGTGAGCTCTCCACTAAGACACCACTCGTCACCTGGCAAATCGGCTAAAGAAAAAAAAGATTTAAAACAATCAGTATCGAGGAGAGAGTGTCAGTGAGATATATCTAATAATATAATTATATAGTACATATCTATTAATATAATATTGCACCTTGTCTAGGGGGCACTAGACTGCTTGTCAAGGTTTCCTTAAGTAGTCAGTTATCTATCTAAGAGATGTATAAAACCAGGTCCTAGCTAGAGGATTGCACTGTCTGGCACAGAACTTCTCTTTAGTTAATTTACAAGCGCATTATACATAAAAAATCCTATTCTAAAATTACACAAGGCCAGAAAAGATTAGAGATTCAGACACAGATCCAGCTTTTTAGGGGCACTACATGAAAAGGTTTGAATGGCTCATCTTGAACATAAAAACAGATGTAATTAACACATTACATATGTTCATATGGAGATAGAGATGGCAAAAATCCTGCACACTTTGTACTCTCAAAACCATATTTCCAGTGACCTATGGCTGCAACAGTTATGGCATCCAGATGTGTAAATTATTTTTACAATTATGTTTAGTCACCTTAATGAGAAATGTAGATAACAAGCATCTACCACGACTGGCCATTGCAGATCTACTGGAGGGGTTGTCATGTGAGGACGATATTCTATAACACAGGTAGTTAACCTTTTAGTAGTACTGTGAAGTCCCTTTGCATGCTGGTCCTATTTTTTAAAACTGGGGTGTATATTTTGCCGCATTTTGCTTGTTATAGGTTATAGGTGCTGCAGTTGCTTTGTAGCGTTGTATTTGTACGTATGTGGGCTATTATATTGAGTGTGGGAAATTTGTGTTATTTGTATGGGAAAGCAGCTCTATGTATAACTAGCAGTGTGGGTGGCTTTCCTGGGTATCGGTGCAAATCAGACTGGCCAGGTACAGGTCAAGGGCAGGAGTGGGCTGCTCTACTCCAGTGCAGATTCTGTTGCAGTGCCTGTTTGTCTCTGCCAGTCTTGAGTGCCGTGCAAAGAAACCTTGAGTGCCATGCATGGTACACGTGCTATAGGTTGCTGACTCCTGTTCTATAATAGGATAACACTATACATAAAGCTGGAAGATGTGCTTGTGGCCTGTAGCCATAAGATACTATGATAATAAATATACACATTGACTGCACTGAATAGACTGCAATACACAGTCTGGGAAATTGGAAATATAATGTGTACCTTTCTCACACAGTGAAATTGGAGTTTTCCAGTGGTCATCTTATGACCACAGCATTTGAAATAATACTTGCCCTTTTCATAGCGGAGTGTGGAGAGGTAGGGAGGGGGTTAAACACTTTCCCTGCAGCCTGTTGTATCAGGTGACGTCAGCTGGAGAACCTTACACCCTGAGTTTCCGGGTTCACATGAATTACAGAGAAGACTTTAACCCCTGTCTGGGTGCTGTGTGCTGACAATGAGCTGCTGTGTAGGAGGTTGTAAGAGACAGGCTGCTAGCCATATTCTAGCCCAATCTCCCTAAAAGCCCTAGCTTCCAAACTCAAGACACTCTCTTCAGTATTCTATGCTGTGTTTTTTACAACCCCAGCTCCTTATTTCTGATGTTCCACAGCCCCTTAACTTCCAGCCAATATGCAGCTTTTAGTCTCAATTCAAAACATCTAATGGCAGAACCCCTTAAAATCTACTTTTCATGATTTTTATGGCATTGAGATATGGCACTGTTCAGAGCACAAAGTATGGCTCAGTCTGTCTGGAGCTGAAAAGTTTGATGGACTTATTGAGAAAAGTCAAATGTACATCCCACTGTCATAGTAGTTATAGACTGACTACATATGTGAAAGATAGCAAATATTTTGCTGGTCCATATGACCTCGCTCGCTTCACCATCCTTTGTGATAGTGATCTTGCATATCTGGCTTTGAGGATGCACATACAACACGAAACCCAGACTTAGTGCCCAGTACAAAATAAATACTGGGTAACATTTAATAAAAAAAATAGTTTTTAAAAATATATAGTTTCATGTGAATGGATCATCACTGTAGTGGCAGCAGCTTACTTTAAAATACATGGGGTAAAAAACAAAAAACAAAAACTAAAAACTCAACATATATATTGTGGCTGCTTTGGGCCTGTCCCAATGCAAGTGTCTGGAGCTGTTGCTCCAATAGCCCCTATGTTAGTCTGGCCTTACTGTGGTAATAGGATTATTAAACAATAATCTGATCTGCACACTCTTGTCCACTACACATACCATCGCTAAAGTTGTCATCTGAAGAACCGTGGGTGAAAGGAGACTGTGGACGGGAGTCTCCACATAGAGAATAGCTATGCTCAGCCTTGATCATAGGAGATGGGGAACTGGGATTCATCTCCACCTCCATCATCTCATACTTTTCATTAAGGAATGGGTCTCCCATGAGTTGCCCCAAGACATCCAGAAGAGCAGAGTCATCAAGCAGTTCCGAGAAGGGCTGAGGAAGAAACAAAGAGATACATATACATGAATATACAATACACAAAAAACTATTCCAGAATAATGGCATATATTGCAACAATGGATTAACTCATTGAGTTACAGACATGTGATTATTATTATTATTATTATTATTATTATTACTGGTATTTATATAGTGTCAGCATATTCCGTAGCGCTTTACAATATTATCAAAGGGGGGAGACTTAACAATAAATGAGACAATTACAAAAACTTACAGGAATAATAAATTGAAGAGGGCCCTGCTCAAACGAGCTTACAGTCTATAGGATGTGATGAACAAAACCTCTTGTATTCACAGGGTTAAACTGTTGGTTCTTTGGAAATCAATTCTTTTAGCACTTAACAGGAATCCCTATATCTTTTTGGTTTACATAGAGACTGCTGGTGGGAAAATCTAACATCATCAGTTCTGGTTTATGTTTGAGTTAGAAGTGAAGAAGCAGCTTCAAGCAAACAGACCACCCTGAATGACTAACGCCTCTTGCAGGGATCACAGTTTGAGTTTATTCTCTAAACAGGAAGTTGTGGTGAACGGACAACCAATACACAAAACACTGTCAAAACAGCAGTACTGGGGGGGAAAAGTATAAAAACTCCAATGCAGCTGAGTTATTATTATTAGTATTTTTGGCATATATATAACGCCAACTTATTCCACAGAGCTTTACAATATTTGATTTTTTTCCCAACATGGATGGCTCTTTTGGCCAAAATGTATTTACCGGTAATTAATTTATCAACTCCTCGCAACCTCCTGTTGGAATAAGTCTTTTGCACTTTACTAAATCCTGGACAAAGCAAATGCTTAGTGATCACAAATAAATTGCAGGCTGACCATGTTTAAGTTAACCCCTTTAGAGAAGGAATTGTGCAGAAAACCATCACTTCCTCCTCTTCTGACTGTTCACAAATACTTCCTGTTTATTATGTATTTGAAACTCCCAAAATCTTTCTTGTCTGACACAAACATGACTATAAATATTGCTGCATTTTTTTTATTTATTTTTTTTAAATGGAACTCTTGTCATGTATTAAATTGATTTGTGGGGTGCCGCCTAATCAATGTCTTATTATGAGTTCCAGGGCACACCCCAACCTCAATAACTATTTAAATACAAGGCAGTTTTTAAAAAGTACACAGGATATAATAGAGTATGACCTGCTCTTAACATTTCACTTCATATAAGCAAATAAATGATTCTTGAATGTAAGAGCTGCCTGAGAATTTTGTGACGTAATTAACCTGTTCAAATTTAATTAAGAGCAATGATAAGATTTTGTTCTAAATTAATGAACAATGACACAAAGACATTCCTATACCCGAATAAAACACACCCTCAAAAAACCAAAACAAACCTTTCTTTTTGTCCTGTTATTTGATATTTGACTCCCAAAAGGTATAATGTTATATATATTATGTTCTGCAGCCGGGAGTCCTACAGTCATTAAATAGTTATGCCAATCCCTTTAGCTACAGTTCTCCATATGCTGAGGTAAAAAAAGACACCATAAAACAGTCTCCATTACCATGGTAAACACAAGCACTGGATCAGTCCCCCCAGCTGAGAAATTACATACCATCTGTGGTTCCCAGAAACAAACGCAGCTCTGTGTACAGTAGTGTTTATATGGGTGAACTCTTTGTGAACTACACACAGAAGCAGTGTGAAATGTATCAAACACACATGTAACCACAGCTTCTGCCATGTCTGTGTGCCCACTCCCTACCCCCACCCACCCATCTAAAATACCCCTACTAATTTTACAGGCTGGATAACTGTTGACTGAGCTAATTGTTGAGGCTTGTTTAGCCCATTGTCTACAAGTTCTGTTTACATTACATTGTAAAACAATACATTGCTTTAACTATGGAATGCAAACAGTTAAATGTTTCTGATGCATAGTAATGACAAGAAAACAATACTATCTGCCTGTCACTTACAGGATGATGTGATTTGCACACACTGAGTCACTGACTGTGAAAATTACTTTATGGGGGACATATAAAAAAAAAATAATCGACCAAAGAGATAAAAACAAATACTCACACAAATGACTGGTCATTTGGATTCCAATATTAGTGTTAAATGAATTTCAAAATTCATTATACCCCATAACATTATACAAATGGGCAAATAATGTTGAATGTTTAAACCCATTTAAAGGCAGCATCTATACCGATGGGATTATTCATTTAACAGCAAATTATTGTGAGTTGAATTTGCAAACCAAATAGCAAAATGTAGGCTTCAATCAGCGTGTTAGTTAAAATTGTGGGGCGAAGCCTGACCAGCGAGCGGCAAGACGTGTCTCGCATGAACCACTTACCGGGTGTATGCTCAGGCTGAAGTGCTGGCAACCTCCAAAAACAGAACCCTGCAATCTAGGGAATCCTACATGTTCCGTTTGACCCTAGAACCGAAGCTCTGAGTGCCCGGGAACAGCGGCAACACGTTGTGGCCTTCCAAAGCAAGTGTGGGGAAAGGCGGACGCTTTCCTCCCGCCGACTCAAGACACAGCCGAGAACCACTCTCCTAACCCCCCCCAGCCCCCCGATCTGAGCTGCCAAAGCCACCGACGCCCCACTGAGCCCGGGAATACTCCCCAGTTGAACGGGCTAGCTTGGTTACCCGCGACGAACGTCCACCACAAATCACACCAGACTCAATTACCAAGCTCTGCTGAAAATGGCACTGGATCGGGTGGCATACCTACGCAGCCTGAATACAGAACAGACCACACTTTGTGATCTGCCCTTAGTCGTGCAATTAGCAAGTATATTATGTGATTTCAACATAGCATGTCACAATTAAACCTATCTGTGACTAGCTAGTAGTTAAATGCTTGCTAGACTACTCATATTGGCAGAATGCACAACTACTTAGTCTTGCTATCCATTAAGTTAGCCCACTGAGCATATTTTAGCTTGTTTAAAATATAAAATTGTGCATATGTCCTCGACTACCCCAAATGTTAAGCGTGATAATGTGTCTGTGGATTGCCGTTGGGGTACCTCAAGCCTGTTTGTACTACTCTTATACACTGCAAAAAAATTTTTTTTAAAAATTATAATTGTCTGATGGTAGTTCCAGTTATTAAAACACAACAGCTCATCTTAAAAAAAAGAGGGGGGGGGGGAGGAGGGTTAACCCAGTGAGTGCCGGAGGTATAAGCAGTGTGTTTCAACACACTGCACAGATCTTTAGCACTCAAATGGTTAAAAGATTCATTCTAAACTCATTACTGGAAAATAAAACCAGACGTTGAATAGGGGAGCACAGAATCCACAAACTCTGAAACTTGATGCCTTTTCCATGAGTCACCGGCACATTTGGCTGTTCTTACAGCTAAAAATATTGAAACTGGGATGTGGACAGTATTAAATAGGAAATGTCTTGCTGGAAACAGCGGGGGTTTGGTTATCTTGGTGCATTGTGCAGAGGCGCCATATACTGATAGCATAGCACAGAGATTGTTATGTATGTACTGTATCCACACTGACAATGGTCACAAGTAGGCCTTTCAAACTGAGACAAAGGGGTTTATTCACTAAACTAGGAAGTGTAAAGAATGGGCAATGAAATATGTGAGCTGGCTGGAAAAATGCTTAGTTTGGAGTGGGGGTTGTATATGTTTTTCAAAGAGGGGTAAAAAATATGCCCATGCTGTACATAACAAACAGCATGATACAGGAGAGGAAATACATTTTGAGATTAACACTGTTTAATATGTATTTATTTTTCCAATCCAGCACATAAGTAAGTAGCAATTATATTTACATTTTAAATTCATGTATTATATTAGTAAATTATAATCAGACATCATAGCTGCCTTCAAACTGACTTATGTAATGAACCTCTGGTATATAAGAAGACGGGCACGTCTTGGAATTTAGTGGGGAACACATACAAGTAAACTAGCAAATACAAGGAAATCAAAATTAAGAAGTTAATTTGCATGTAATGCCCTTTTTGTGCCCTCTCAGAAAGTAGTAGTCCCTAGTTTGTCTCAGTATATCTCTTGACTGGGTTGGTATTAAGTGAAATTCCAACACAGTCAAAGATTCTATCTTTATGAAATACTCTTTTTTCATGGGGATGGGTGACAGTACCGCTTTAAGGAGAGCGAGGCATGAAAGATTTCTCTCCCTTTTTTTCCTGCTGGCAAAGTAAGACAGCAGACATCTGTGCCAGATGTTGGGCTATAATCCTCCGCACTAGACACTAACTCAGAATGTGGATTGCACAGAGTCTGGAGAAGATTGCATCATGCAGACACATCTTAGTGTCAGCCCATCAAAAAGTTTAATAAGGGCCAGATTTAACTTTTTTTGTTTTGCCCTAATGTGGGAAGTATAAATCTTAGTGTACACTTTCACAGCAGACCCCTGCACTACATAGTCTTCATTACACTGAAATGGACTACAGGGACCCCCAGGACTCACTGTGTATTACGGTGCACTTTTTGGGGGTCCTTTTTTTTTTTTAAATTATCAAACTCACAATCTGCTCATTTGATACCTGCAATTGATTTCTCTTGCAGATACCCCAAGTGGCCAGAAGACACAGGAAAAAAATGTGACAATTATATATAGTTCCTTTTTTTCTTCTTTTTTTCATTAGAACCTTTGATTCACTGACATTTTTATTCTGGTAAGAATAGGTCTTATTGCAATATAGCTCTTTACTAGGTTGCTTTACAGCCTGTTAACACTTAGAGTGCTAGAATGTGGAGTAATCAGCTTGCACTCAGAGAAGAAGAAACTCATTGTCCATCCCTTCTTGACTCATAGGAGCACAGCTTTGTTACCATTGCTGTAGGGGACTTTCTTACCCACGATGCTCAGCGATCCAGATTCAAATATATATCACTAGTCTGGAGTGTTTGACTAGTAAATATGGCCAATATATGTGAGAACGTTTTTCCTCTGTTCTTGACTAGGTGATAGATTATTTTTACAATGGATGACTGTGTCCTGCCAGCTAACACCTGTACGCATATTGCTATCACTCACAGTATGCGTCAAGGCAGTGCTGAGGCTTGTCTGCAGAGACCAGGGATATAATGAAAATCTCCAGCAGCCCGGGGCCTTGCTTTATGATAACTTACTTTGTGGCTGATGTCTGGTTCTGCCAGCACTTATTTGTCTTTTTAAAAGTGCACGTTTTGGTTTGCAACAAACACTACCATTAAAGAAAACTGCTGCTCAGACTTGTAAATGTTGTTATACTGACATTTTGTCAGATGCCTTCCATCTCTTTTTAAAATATACCAGGACTAGCAATTTCAACATCGAAAATCTACCTCCAGGTAAATAGATTGGGGTCATGGGTCATCTCCCTAAAAAATCTGTTAATGGGACATTAAAATGCTTGTCTGCACCTGGGGTATAATTCAGGTGTGTTAACTATTTATTGGCCAGTATAGAATATCAATATAAACAAATGGAGCACACAGCAGAAAACTACTAACGCGTGTGTGAATGTCTTTATTCTACATTTTACAGAAAGAACACTGGGGCTGCCATTAATGCATTATTTGAGTGCATTATATGATTTTAAGACTGTTTGGATTCTGACTTATTTTCCTTTCGTCTTTCAGCACCACGCATTGTCTAATCTACAATGCAGAGCATCTCACAGCAAAAGTATGCATAACAGTTAGGTTAGGCATATATACGGTATATGAAGTTACCTCTTTCATACAAAATTGAATTACATTAAGGCATTACTGTCTTTGTAATAAGTACAGAACGCTTACTTTGCGTCTACTGGTCAAGTGGTTAATTCTGAAATCCGTCATATTAACTCACTATGGTTTACCACATTCACCATTTATTTTTTTTAAACCAGTGAATCTTGATCGACTACCATGTACAAAATTTTGTTTCCAGTCAATAGAGGTTAAAAACTACTATTTTAAAGGGAAACATCAAAATGTAACTGAGCTAAACTAATTACTAACGCCAGGTTAGGTTTTTTGTTGTTGTTTTTTGTCAGTGTGAAAGATAGCAATATGTGCAATATTAACTACCTTGAACATTTTAAAAAGGGGAGGAGAGGGCAATATGTTGTAAATTGTATGAACTAGCACTATAAAGTGAACAAATACGATGTGCTGAATTTTGCAAACCTTATCTTTTCTCCACATTGCTAGGTTATGACTACAAGCTAGAGATTGACAAATTGTAAGGATGTAAAAAGTGACCACACTATCATTTTGGCAAAGAATTTTGTAAATGTTTCAGAAATATCTGATACATTCCATTGAACCATGCATACATATATACATACATGCATGTACAACGGTTTAAACTGTGATATAGATAAGCTTCCTTTTTCAATGCTTCATCAGATTAGAGGTGAAGATGCATTTAGAGTATCTAAAACAGGGCAGGCTGAAAGGTGCCTCTCAGCTGTGGGAGAACTGCAATTCCCCTAAAGCTTTGCAAACCGTAAGCATTGTAAAACATCAATAACTTGGGACCTACGTTTTAACCTTTTATAAAATGCTACTTCATTTTTTTTTTTTTTTTTTACTTTTGCTTCATAAAAGTTTTAAAATGTCACCACTTTAAGACGGTTTGCACACATTTCTATTTAAAGTTAAACTGCCAACATGAATGAATACGTTTTGTGTAAGTGAAAAAAAAAGTACAGAATAATATGAGACTCCTATTGAGAATAAAATTGTAGGTTTTGTTTTTTAAAGTGTGGCAAGAAGCCACTGAAAAACGTTGCATCTTATAAAATCTTGCCAAGTGGGGGAAGCTCTGTTCTCTGGAAATAGCAAGGAAATCAGCCTCTTGTGTATAGTATATCCCGGGCTGGTCTCGACAAACATCTGGCTTTCATTACAAACCAGAGCTCCTCCCAGACCAAGAGATAAACTGCTCCACTGTAGTTTGTAGTTGGGGGATGCAACTTTTACCGATATTAAACTTCAAAGGCTAAAAGAATGATCTTGGAGATGCAACATTATGGTATTTCTTCTCTCCAACATGTGGTAACTTTAATTTAGCAAAGATATAAAGACTTTCAGGGTTATTCAAAGTGAAATTTAAATTTAAGACCAGATTAGCTGAATTTAAACTATAGTTGACTTAGAGAGTTTTTTCAGTTCAGCCACTTTGGCCTTAAATTTGACATTCAGTTGGAATTCTCACTTTAATGAATAAGTCTGTTTATTTTGGGCAGTGAATATGTGGATGCCTCAGGAGTTAATCACTACACTGGAGAACTGACAGTAGAAATGCACATTTTAGTTGATAAGAAATTAACTGGAAAAATGCAGCTCAGTTTTTAGGCCTACAATTTGCAATTTCCTTGTTTAAGCTCCACAAAGCTCAGTTTAGTGAATTACCATAAGTAATTGGACAAGGCTATATTTGAACCAAATGCTCCATCCACACACAAGTGTTTGACCCTTTAAGACTCGCAGGGTTGGAAATTGACCAAGCCAAAATAGAAGAGCTATGAATATAACCAAGTTGTAATTGTTTTCCAATTTGACTGTTTTGGCCTAAAAATTTGAAATTCCCTGTCAGTTCATGGTTTAGTGAATAACTCTGAAAGCATGGCAATGATTTATTTACCCTTATCATACATTAAAGTGTTACTCAAAGCACCATTACCACTTAAGTGATTTGAAGTGATCTTGGTGCCTGGATTCTGTTTATGCAGCTTAAACACTCCACATATATAGTTTAAAGGGATTCTCCAGTGCCAGGAAAACAAACCCATTTTCCAGTCACTAGAGAATACTGGAATACCACCTCCCTCCCGACCCCATCCCACGTCGCTGAAGGGGTTTTTACCTGAATCCAACGCCGAGGGTCAGGCTCCGCCCACACAATGGCCGTGCATGCGCATTAGACCTCCACATAGGAAAGCATTATTCAATGCTTACCTATGGGGATTCCGGCGATGCTGGAGGTCCTCATACATAGCATAAGAACGTTCAGTGTCGTTTAGACGACCAAAAGTCGTCTAAGAAGTCGTAATTCTCATTAGTGGCTGTCTGGTAGACAGCCACTAGAGGAGGACTTAACCCTGCAAGGTAATTATTGCAGTTTAAAAAAAAAAAACTGTAATAATTACACTTGCAGGGTTAAAGGTGATGGGAGCTGGCACCCAGACCACTTCTAAGGGCTGAAGTGGTCTGAGTGCCTACAGTGTCCCTTTAACCAATCTGCTTCATTATCGTCATTAGCCAGCACAGAAATAGTTTCGTGCTGGCTTATACAAATGGTGGGATTGAGGCACTGTTTTTTTTGTTGGGTTAACACTTATAATAAATCAACTGCAGCAGTGCAATCTTTACATAGCTATATAATCACAATATAAAAGTGCAGTAAATTGGTCCTACAACTTTAAATTTCAAAAAAAGTAATCAGTTTTAAAGTATTGATTAGCAAAACATATATTAACGGGACACTGCCTCTGGGCATTTGGGCAATGGCTCATTTAGCTTATAATTATAGAATCAATCTCTTTCCTTTAGGATTAGATTTGTCCAGTGAAGCCCAACAGCAGGGATGGGCTCTTTAATTGACTGAAATAGGCCTAATTAATACTTTTGGTAATGGAAAAAAAAATTATTTGGGTGGGTCTGGAAATGCGAATGCTCAAGGGTCAATAGGTTAAAGGAACACTAGTGTTTGGAATACATATCTTTGTTTCTAATGCTACAGCCCTGATGCCCCTCATTAACTAGGTCCCCCCATGTAAAGAAAAATAAAGAAATAAACAAAAAACAAATATAAATTACTGAACTTTCTCCAGCACTGAATCTTCCATGAAGTTGCTGTGAAATCCCCCTTAGGCTGCATCACATTGGAGACATGCCTCCAGGATGACTGGCCAACCCAATGCTCCTTGTAGACCTTAAGCGTGTCTAAGATTATCCCATATCATCATTGAATAACACGATTCTCTATTGGCCGACTGTGACGGCACTGCGCATGCATGCATGCTGCCACAGTATGTTATGATATGCAAACTGCTTAACTCAGGAAAGCTAATGGAAGTTGCTATTTAGGAGCTGCTGGAGCTCTATCAGAAGTAGTGGAGGCATGACTACAACTACTGATTGACTACTAACAATGAGGGAACGCCAGAGCATTCCAAGTACCATCATCAATACAGCATGCTTGGAGTGCTTCTTTATTTGCAGTAGGTGGTGAGTTAGTTATGGTACTATTAGGTGGTACAATACTCAGTTTTTTGCTCCCTTCTGTTGTCTGGTATTACACACTGTATCTATCATATAACTATCAGAGAACCATCGGCACTCCAGATCTTGTGGACTGTATCTCCTATAATGCTCTTACAGCCATGATGAATTTCCCATAATGCTCTTACAGCCTGGAGTGCAGAAGGCTGCCTAAATTAGGTTAACATTTGTACAGAGCAGTGTGCTCAGGTAGTTGAGGAGGTGTCCCCTCACAACACTTATCCTTAAGGTAACAGTACAGAAGAGATATTATAGAACAGTAGGGATACAAGACAAGTGAATATAGGTCTTTCATAGCCAGATCCACTATGTCTTCATAAATGTCAAATCCACCATGTTCCCTTATATATATTGAGTAGCAGCAGATGATAACTACATGCTTACAGTATGCAGAGATCAAATATTTGCAAGTCATATACCAACAAGAAATCCTGCACAATAGAAATGTCACATTTTGCAAGGCAGCATTAGTTATAAATTGCTCATCAACATGAAAAAAATCCCCACACAGGAATAAAGTTTTGGGTCGGACAACTCTAGTCCCCAGAATAATGCAAGGTCTGTGCCGCACTCAGAGAAGCTCACTAGGTACTAACTCTAATCCTCAATCACCTAGCTGTAACAGTGAGTCAAGGAACAGGGATCTGGTTTAACCACTTTCCCTTTAAATGTCACATGTAAATCAAACAAGAGAAGGTTTTCCCAAGAAGTGTCATTGTCATTATTGGTGTAATATATTTACCCATTTCAAGTTAGCGTCATAGTTATAGGCGGTTGTCAACTACAAGATTATGATCAGCAAATAAATGATGGAAATAGCAAATATGATTTGACTCAGCATAAGATACTTTATGTACAATCTTGATGAGGCCTGGAAATTTAAACTTGCCTTGTTAGTTATTGGTGAGTGAAGATGCAGCCCTGGTAAGTGTGAACCCACCAGGATTGCAGTAACTGTTAATCTATCTAGCTAACATTGGAGTTCAAATTTCAAGCCCTTGTCTGGATGATATCAACGGTACCCAATCGATATTTCTTACTCATGTATTAATATAATCATGTATACTAATTACGGTGACCAGAGATTGCATTGCTCTATGCCAGTTTTCCATTTTTCCAAACAAAAGTATTAGCCTCCAGAAGCTTTATGATCTGTAAAGAAGCTCAGAAGAAGTATATGCATAAAATGTGACCAACCTGCCATCTTCATCATTTTTTTTTTTATTTACATAGCACCAACCTAGACTGCAATGCGTATAATATGAACTGTATTACAAATCTGATCATTGTTATCCTTCTAAGGCTCAAATTCAGGCAAAATGTATAGATCTCTCCAAGTGAGAAAGAGCCACATATGAAAATAGATCAATCATGCTTTTCCCTAATATTAATATTAAAAAAGGCGATCTATATATAAAACATACCTGTCCATTTAAAATAAATGCCCAAAATGACATCACTCAATGTTTCTGTATCATACTTGGAGGGTCAAAAATCCATTGTAATCACTAAGTTTGCAATATTATTGCCAAACCTGATATAGTTTACATTGACCCTGATACCGTATGCCAGAGTCCAACACAGAGGTGTAGAATTGCAAAATGTTCTTTTTCCAGGAAAAGACAATGCTCTGTGATCAGGAGAGGCAGTGTAAGCACAACTTCAGACACTTCAGACAACTTCAGACACTTCTTATTGATTGTATTAATATCAATAAGCAAAACATTATTTTGTAATCAATATCACAAGTAAATTTGCTTAAATTATTAAATGCAAAACAACACTTGTTTTTTTAACAACGTACTAGTTTAAAAAGTAAAAAGGTGATAGTGTAATATTTGTAAACGTTTTAAAACTTAATATATAAGAACAAAGCTTTTCCACTAATAGAACATTATTCTGATGGTTAAAGCAGGTATATTCCATTAGCTCTGGAAAAATGTATCAGACAAGGAATTTTCATTTACGTGAAAAAAAAAGGAAAAAAGAAAATTATATACACACACACACACATTTCTGAATGTAAATTTTGTGATCAATGATTCACAGGGGCAGATCCATTTTAAGACGCAAAACATTTAAAAAACTTTGGAGGGATTTCAAACCACCTTCCATCACAATGTTTCTTTTTTTAAATGTGAAGTGCTAGTTGACTCTATAATAACAATAATGTTAGAAAAAATACAGAGTAGTAAAAGTGCTAAGAAGCATTCAAAAGGAGAGAAAAAAAATGCGAAAAATTCAACTCCTTAGAAAGTGATCTTAAAGGTATATAAATATCACTGTATAGTACAATATTATGAGAAATACAGCTACACTCTCAAGTGCTGGAGCCCCCAAAGGTGATTAGCACAAAATAAAGAGTAATCTAGATACAGAGTATAAGTGGAGCGCATAAATAGTGATCTTGGATCAAACGGTGTATTGTGCTCCACTTATACCCTGTATCTAAATAACAATAATGTGTAGGTACCTGTTTGCAAAAAAACACACACAAAAAAAAAAAACACAGAAACTTGCTCCTCTCCAGAATTCTACAGACTGTCACATTTCAAATTGAGATTATAGTTCTTGGTGCAGAGTGAAATTCAGACAGGAGACATTCTTCAGGGAGGGGAGAGAGTTTGCATTCCACCAACAGTCACACACACCTCCTCTATTCCCAAGCACAAAGACGGTTTCATACTGCTATAGCCTACAGCATTACCTGCATATTTCTCTTTCTATGCCTCCCGTTTAAAAAAAATAAAAAAAGAAGACACAGATTGATCAGGTTATTTGCCTTTTTGCTACAGAGACTGAAAGCTTATCTTCACAGTTAATCAATGGAATTAAAGAGACAGGCAGGCAAAAAATACGGAAATCAAAAATGTATTTTAATTCATGTCTATTATTTCTAGGTGTGTAATATGTATTACACTGTGTAAGCTCATGGCCTACATAGGAGATGCTAAAGGTGGAAAAAATATTAAGTGGTTTTATCTCTTTAAAGGGACATTATAGGCATCAAAACAACTTTAGCTTAATGAAGCCATTTGTGAGTATAGATCATGCCCAATGCAGTTGCACAGCTCAACTCTCTGTCATTTAGGAGTTAAATCACATTTGTTTCTGTTTATAAAGCCATAGTTACACCTTCCCTGTCTGTGACTGACACAGCCTGCATGAAAAAAAATGGTTTCATTTTCATTCAGATGTTAACTTATCTCCTGCTCTGTAAATTGAACTTTAATTCCAGGAGGCGCCTACAGATTTTAGTAGGTTATTAAACGAGCAGAAAATAAGAAAATCTAAATTAAATAGAAAAAATAAAGAAAGTGTAAACATTAGATCTCTCTTTACAGGAAGTGTTTAGGAAGGCTGTGTAAGTCACATGCAGGGAGGTGTGACTCGAGTGTGTGATTTAACTCCTAAATCGCAGAGAAGTGAACAGTGAGAGTGCAGGGGCTATACACCAAATCTGCTTCCTTTAGCCAAACCTGTTTTGTTGACAATAGTTTCCCTTTAAGGCTATTGTAACAATAGATTACTATGTACAAGTCACAAGTAAAGGTAGACAGAGAACTAAGTCTATCAACAGATGAGGGGTTGGGTGCAGTTTGATGAACCAACCTTATAATTTTAGTAATGACAGTGCTAAAAAGGATACTTACTGAATTCTAATAATTCTGTAAATACTAAATGCACTACAATATGGCAGCTGTTTGTAGATTAGACTATATGTAAAAGAAAGAACTCATCAGTGGGACACAGGTAGACAATATGTAAATTATAAATACAGCCTAAGTATTCAGGTCTAGGACCAGCTCTAGAGCAGATCTCAAGACCAAGGAAATCATGGCTACTGCAATGCAAATGTCAAAGTTAGCTCTCTTTGCCCATCCTACCTTCCTTTCAGCCATTATTGAAAAAAAAAAAAAAAAAACATCTTACCACATAAAAAGTACACAATTTACCTCACCGATTCTGTTTATTTAAGAACAAAGCAAACAAAAACCCCAGGGGCTCTTGCTAATTAGAAAATCAGATGTCAATTTCACAACATTGGATTGTCTCTTACAGAAATCCCTGTAGGGAGATAAAATACACCATGAAGTTAAGGTATTTAGTGAAATGAAAAATCAGTTGTGGCCTGTTTATTACACTGTCTAAACCGCCATGGCTCTAACAAGGGGCTTAAGGTCAAGTGCCAGCAGGAAAATCTAGTTGGGCTTCTTTAGACCATCTCAGTCTAGGAAAAAAGGGTGTTTGGCATTGATGTAAAGATGCTGTGATGATACCTGGCTTTGTTTAGGTTTCTGGAGAATATACAAATGAGAATTACCGTATATACTCGAGTATAAGCCGACCCGAATATAAGCCGAGGCCCCTAATTTTACCCCAAAAAACTGGGAAAACGTATTGACTCAAATATAAGACTAGGGTTGGAAATGCAGCAGCTATTGGTAAATTTCTAAATAAAATTAGATCCTAAAAAAATTATATTAATTGAATATTTATTTACAGTGTGTGTATATGATGAATGCAGTGTGTGTGTATGAGTGCGCAGTGTGTGTATGAGTGCAGTGTGTGTGTATGAGTGCAGTGTGTGTATATGAGTGCAGTGTGTGTATGAGTGCAGTGTGTGTGTATGAATGTGTGTATGTGTATGAGTGCAGTGTGTGTGTGTATGAATGCAGTGTGTGTGTGTATGAATGCAGTGTGTGTGTGTGATGCAGTGTGTGTGTTTATGAATGCAGTGTGTGTGTGTGTGTGATGCAGTGTGTGTTTGTGTTGCAGAGCCTTGGTGGGGGGTGGGCATTTTTATAAAAAAAAATATATATATATTATTTTAATTTTTTTTTGTTATATTATTATTTTTTTAATTATTTTGTTATTATTTTTATTATTATTTATATGTATATATTATTATTTTGTTTTATTAATATTTTATTATTTTATTATTATTACTATTATTTATATTTGTACATTATTAATTTATTTATTTTGTTGTCCCCCCTCCCTGCTTGATATATGGCAGGGACGGGGGCTCTCCTTCCCTGGTGGTCCAGTGGCATTGGCAGTTCAGTGGGGGGAGGAGGGGGGCTGGCAGAGCTGTTACTTACCTCTCCTGCAGCTCCTGTCAGCTCTCTCCTCCTCCGCGCCGGTCCGTGCAGCTCTTCTGTCAGCTCACACTGTAAGTCTCGCGAGAGCCGCACTATGACCCCGCGGCTCTCACGAGACTTACACTGGGAGCTGACCGAGGTGCTGACCGGACCGGCGCGGAGGAGGAGGGAGCTGGCAGGAGCTGCAGGAGAGGTAAGTAACAGCTCTGCCAGCCCCCAGTCTGTATTATGGCAATGTAAATTGCCATAATACAGACACTGACTCGAGTATAAGCCGAGTTGGGGTTTTTCAGCACAAAAAATGTGCCGAAAAACTCGGCTTATACTCGAGTATATACGGTAAAACACATATCGTCACAGGTAAATGCAACCAAGTTCCCTCCCAAAGGATTTGCAATCCCTGTGATGGGGCCTAGGAGTAACAGTACTTATATACATTGTAGATTTGTCCCCTGAAGACATAGGCTGGATTGCTACCTATTGCCTGCAAAGCAATTTTTTTTTTAAATGTATGCTTTAATTAGGGACACTCCAAGTAAATGGACACTATAGTCACCAGAACAACTACAGCTTAATTATTAGCCTGTGCCCTGCAGGAATTTAGATGTAAACACTGCAGGGTTTACATTGCAGTCACTCAGATGGCCACTAGAGGTGCTGCCTGAGTCAGTGCTGCACACGTTCAGTGTCTCCATGCATTGCATGGAATCACGGAATATTCCTCATTGAGATGCACTGATTCAATGCATCTCTATAAGGAGATGCTGTCAGCACGGCATTTGGCTCTGCCACCTATCCAAACTCCTTGGTTGAGATCATCAGAATTGACTATCTCAGCCAATCCAATTCTTTCCCATAGAAAAGCGGCGCTGGTATTATGGTCAGTTTTATAGTTTTTCGAGGGGAGCATGGGGGAGGCCAGCCACCTCCTTAGTGTTTTTAACACTATAGGGTCAGGAATACACATTTGTGCTCCTGACCCTATAGTGTTTCTTTAAGAATATACAGGCAGTACATTTTTAAATAAGCAGTTGTTTTCAATTTTACTGCACTTATTCAACAAGCTAGCTCATGCATTGTGGCAGCTCGTGACTCAGACTCTCAAAAAGGCAGATTTCAACTCAGATGAGCTTGCATCAAGTTGGCAGAGCCAGCCTGACCCACACCTCTGTAATATTCTTAAACATCTGCCCATCATTAGCACTTGGCTGCCATCTTCCCCCAAGCCCCCACCCTTTTGTTAGGACTTTCAGTAGAACTTTTAACATCTGTGTTAAGTTGGCCGTCCTGCTGCTCTCCCCCATTCTCCTCCCATTACAGAGTCAGATCCAAAGGGAATGGAACAGTTTATGAGAAAGTAAAATCCATAAGACAGCTGGATGGAGTATGCAAACAGGACCAAGAAAAAGAGGACAGTCACCATAACTCTTTAAAAAGAAACAGTCACTTTTAGGGAAAGACAAATCTTAAAAACGGTTATTCATTCTAAAAACAATATGTTAGCTATAGGTTGTCCTAAAAGCTTTTTAAATGAAATGCTGGGGTAGGTCTTGCACAATGTGACATGCATGTGAAAAAAAAAACATGTATGAGCAGGGAACCATGTAAAATTATGAAACATTCATGCACAGAACATAGCCTCCTCCTCATACAAATAATACAAACAGCCCACACACAAACAAACACACAGTCCTCACAAACACAACACCACTGACAATCCACATATATGCACACCACCAAACAAGCAGCCCAACACACACACAAACCACCAAACACACTTTGTGACAAATCAACACACACACAATTCCACAAAGAGCCCCCCATACACAGTCCATATTCATAGGTATCATACACAATATAACAAGCTACTCATGAACATATACAAAATAATAGCCCACATATGCACAAATACAAAGCAACTGCAGCACCCTTGGTTAACACAAGCACAATACGGCAACATACACACCCTAATTTAAAAAAATAAAATTTAAAAAAGGCACGATAAGGGACCTCAAGATCTTGTTCTGGTACAGTACTACTAAGAGGTTGCCCAACCCTGTACTAGTGTCAAGAAGAGAATATTTACTTGCACTATTTTTGTTAACTAGAGTAAGGGACATGGGACCTCCCTGTGCCATAATCTAATCAAAGAGTGTGAAATATGAAATGTTACAGTGCTTGGAATATTCCTTTAAGATATGAAATGGTGCTTTTTGGGTGATTTTTAGGCGTTTAGAAACGGCCGAGTGTTTAAGTATTTGCCTTACATGACATCACCCATTTCAGTAACAAAATCAAGGAACACATTGTCTGTGAACAGCAGGGCTAGTGTATACTGGGGTCTGGCACAAGCAGGCACTTTAGCTGAGTGGGTAGCATTAAAAGAGCAAGTCTTGCAACAAAGGAGCCTTGACAGAGTAGTAGGGAGGGAAACTTGTGTAAGCTTAGACCAGATGTAAGATGTCATTGTGCATGTGTTTGAGAAAGGTTTCCTGGACTATCCCAAGCTAGTTCTGGCTTGGAACACATCTGGAAAAGGATGTGTGAGTCTCCCCCACATAGGAACCCAGGGGACCAGTGTGTTCCAGAGTAAACTACACAACACCCCTGTTTACAAGGCATGCTTTATAACAGAATACATCCATCCCTTTATCCTTTGCAGGGGGTAGGTTGGTAAACTAACAGTATGCAACTTTTTTTTTTTTTTCTTTTTAAGACCTGGAAGCAGGATTTTTAACTCTTCTGTTAATTTAAAGTAGAATTAAAGGGACACTTTAGGCTGGAGTTAATCATATGCAAACTGCACCCAACCCCTCATCTGTTGATAGACTTCACTTGGTTCTCTGTCTACCTTTACTTGTGACTTGTACACAGTAATCTATTTTTACAATAGCCTTAAAGGGAAACTATTGTCACCAAAACAGGGTTGGCTAAAGGAGGCCCCTGCACTCTCACTGTTCACTTCTCTGCGATTTAGGAGTTAAATCACATTGTTTATGTAACACTAGTCACACCTCACTGCATGTGACTTACACAGCCTTCCTAGACACTTCCTGTAAAGAGAGATCTAATGTTTACACTTTCTTTATTTTTTTCTATTTAATTTAGATTTTCTTATTTTCTGCTCGTTTAATAACCTACTAAAAATAAAAATAAAGACAGTGCCTCAAATCTCACCAGTCCTAGTACAGTCATGTTTTGAGCCTCAATCTATCAGAACTCTTTCACAAGCTAACAGCTAACTGCACATGGCCTTTCATAACAATCTATGAGAGAGACTGGATAGGATGTTCACAGCCACAGAGAGGACATGACTTTCTCCTGTGAAGTTTCATAAATGGCAAGCATATTTATATTAAATAAGATGCACAAGAAATTGACTTTTTTTAATATATAGAAACTAGACCCTATCATGTGCAAGCAAGAAAAACTCTCCCATCATCCCTCATTATTTACAGTTATCCACCTGCTAGACAGTTGTAAATTGTCAAACTCTAACTCCACAAACTGGTAAGTATCATCTGCATATGAGGCTAATGCTGAATAGCTTCGTAGGAAATGCTTTGCCTGGGGGCCACGTACTGACTACCTGTTTCTGGCTTTTTACCATGCTAAACTACAACCATGTAAAAAAAAAACAAAAAAAAAACTACAACCATGTAAAACATAGATAAATAAATGTTAATCTCTATTTTTTGGTGTGCTCTGATTCTCATTGGAACTGACCCAGCCAATCAGAATTGGAAGTAAAATTAATGACATGCCAATCGTTTACTCAGAAGAAGAAAAAATGCCATGATACAATATTGGAGATATAAGCAATGGGCTGAACTGAAAAACTTTGTTTTCCTTGCAAACTATCTGATTATTTGCTTGTTTATTGTGTGCTTCATGAGGCCAGAGTCTAAAGTTCTATGTATGTTATTTAATTAGGAGTATCAGAGGGCAGTGATTGCAATATTTAGAGGACAGTCTTGCCAAATGTTCCAGAATATGTATACTAAGTTAAGTATATTCTGTGACTGGCATCTTGTAGGAGATAAAAGCAAGCATCACGTATGTATATTTAAATGAACATTATAGCATTAGGAATAAAGACACGTATTGTCCCTCTACCCATTTAAGAGTCCTGCCCACGTGAAGGTTTAAAAGTTGAGTTTTGCTTCTCCCTGGCTGAGATAATGAAGATTGATTATCTCAGACAATGCAATGTTTCCTCATAGGGAAGCATTAGAAGACTAGTGAACATGCGCAACAAATCACCAAGCTGCGTCTATCAAATGCTCTCTAGGAGCAACATTTAATTGTGAGCCGAGTCTGACTCCATTATCACTGAGAAAGTGCCTCTATTGTCCGTCAGAATGACAGCCACTAGAGGTGTGTTTAACCCTGCAAAGTAAACGTTGAGATGAAAGATGTCTGGGTGCTTTTAATGGCCCTTTAAGAATATGTACTGATAAAGTGTACACCTCCATGAACATGATGTTTTTCACATTGTTTATTAATAACAAAGTCACTGTAATTAAAATTTTCATCCAAAATATAATCTGACAACATGTCCTGTGTCCACTCATTAACAACAGGGTATTTTATGGCTAAAAAAAATCTGCATCATGTTAAACTGTTGTAGACTGACAATACGTGGTTCTCCCTAGGCACCCAAAGTTGTCCATCAGATGCCACCAAGATACACTTGAGTTTCACTTTCACATTACCTGTCTAAATTTGGACAGTAACAATAGGCTGCAAGGGCTGAGCTAAGACTCAACCTGTAATTCCCATCCAAAATTTCTACAGATGTTATTTCAGTGACTCTACAACATCTGGGGTGCCGAAGGTTGCCTATCTCTGCCCTAGAGCATGGGTGCCCAAAAGGTAACACTACAACGTCCATGATGCTTTGTAATTCTAAAGACAGCACTCTAAAGACAAAGCATCTTGGTAGTTGTAGTTCTACAACATCTGGGGATCTACTATTTGGGCACCCCTGCTCTAGAGGGATCAGACTTTAGATGCCAGCAAATTCCTTTGTGTCAAATCACCCAAAAACTGTTTGAAATAAGTAAAAACCTAACAAAGAGGGACTGTACCTTTGTACTAAAATAACATCAATACGCTTATAGTGATTATAGTAGTTATAGGCATTATAGGAGATCAATGTCTGAATATTTTTCAGTATACTTCAACAGTGGACAAAATGCATATACAATGCTATAGCTCCAAGAACTAGTTATGAAAAAATATTGCTATGGAGCTCTGTAATATACATATAGCTGCAGTTTGCATGTGCATATTAATATACACTGTTTAATTATAATTTTTTGTTTGTTTGTTTTATTATAATTTTAAAGCTACACTCACCAAATATTACCATTTTATTCATTCTTGAAAAGCTCTGCGATCCCCTCATATACATTGCATATGCAGTGGAACAGTCTTATATGCTCATAAACTCAAACTGAAACAATTCACATTGCTGAGTTTTATTACCTTAGCACAACGTGATACACCGTTACACATTATTATAAGGTTTATAGTTGTAGAGCTCAGTGATATACTAACACACTGCATACCTTGCATATTTATATATACTACAAAAAGTGAGTGCTCGTGTAAAAATGGGAACTAGTGTGGGAAAAGGGGGCAGTTAAATTCATGTCTCAAAGACAAAAACTAGGGGGACAAGCATTACTTAACCTGTCTACTGGAATTTATAAGAAATAATATATTTGTAATCAGGCCAAATCATGTTTCATACAGGTAAAGAGATTCCATTCCAAAGTTTAGTTCAGCTAGTATTTGTTTTAATAAAGCCTCTGTTTACATAGATCTTGGAGAAAAATGTATTCACTTAAACCACAAATACTTAATATTAACTATTCCCCATGGAAATCTACAGGAGTCCAGGGATTAGCCAAGATATCTCAACAAATTCCTGGTTGTGTTTAGATTTGATGAGGGAAATCAGATCTCTGTGAGAAAATATAAATGAGAGACAGTACAGTTTTATTTCCATTTGAAATACTATTATTATTGTGCACTAAGTATATAATATATAAAATGCCTGCAATGCATAAAATACATCTATCATCTAACATATTCCTTGACTCAGTAAAAAGGCAAAGCAAAACAAAAACAAGCCATTTACTACCCCTTTAATATTTCAGATGAGCTCTCATCATAGCAAGTTACAGATCAATTTTTAACACATTCCAGTGAAAATTTGGAGAAAGAATGCGGTTGTTGGAATCGGTCTTGATCCATGGGAAAAGTGAAGAGAAATTGTTCCAGCCTGTGAGTCAGATGGAAAGATTCCTACAGTGTTAGTTGGGCCAGATGCTAAGGGATTAAAATGCTAAGGAAAAATTAACTCTTCATTAAATGCGTATGTGTATTTTTTTGGCTTGATCTAAATACAGAGAAGCAGCATGTTGGAAGCTTTATTTCAATAAATGGAGATATCCCCCACCCCACCCCCAGTCTGCGGCTGTGAAGTCAGCTAAGGTGAGAGCAGACAGAGGAATGTTCAGAACCATTGCTAGAATTCCAAGCACAATGAAGAAAGGAACACTTTGAAAAGACCCTCAGGTAACCAAAGTCTGTGGGACCCTCCCCCTCCCCTACCAGTTTAACCACTAACCAACCTAGATGTGCTGGATTTTAGGGCAACAGAACAAGTTTCATAAATCTTAACAGGGCAACCCAATCTGATGTCCAACAAAAGTCCTCTATCCTGTCAATTAATGTCTTCACTGCAACACTGAACACATGAGTCAATGTGACACCATCGTTAGAAATTATATCACATTTTAATTTTTGATTTGTACATCAGGATTGATTAACAGATTGCATGTTATTTAGTTAATCTAGCGATAAAGCAGGCATTGTTTTGGTTTTAGAATGTACCTTTTGAACTTGTTTCCTATATACACATTTGTGCTTAACTTGAGTCCATGGTACTGATCAGACCCATGAACTTGAGCCCCATAATGTAGAGTGGTAAACCTTTAATCATAATTATTATTTTTTTGATTTATATGACATAGGTCTATAGGCATTTAAAGCTAAAAGTTGTACAGTTACTAGTACAGACTATGGTGATCTTCCTGACCATCGCCTCAGCATAGATTAAAGATCTTTTTTCTAAATGAAAATACTACAAATAATTGAGATCTGTGTGTCTCTAATCTAAGTATCAAGTATTACTGTGAATTTGACCAATGTTTGACAGTGGGAAATGTACTCCAGTGTGCAATAATTGTATCAAATAAACAAAAACATGAAAGAGACCCATCTCTCTGAATCAGCAACCTGACACTTGTCAAAGTCGAGCTATTTTCTGTAGCAATGCTGATTGTATTATTGTCCTGGCAATATAACTCCATAGTCTAACAATGCAGCATTCCCATGTTCCTTCATCCTCACACCCCCTGACCTATCCATGGAGTTAAACAAAGTCCCTGATCAGAGATGTATGAAGCTGGCTGCTATTAGAAGACAGGGATTACAACTGGCACCATCTCTGCAGGCCTATTAAAACCATAAGTAGCAGGTTACATCAATGTAAAGCAATATTTAGAAATAGTAGTAAAGTCTCATAGTAGACACACTCTTTATTTTGGGCACTCTTGTTAAAAATAAGGGTCGTCTGGATTACCGGAATATAGCTCTTTTACGACAACAAGAAAATCTTAACTTTATGCTGTAATTAAAAGCAAACAGAAGAAAACTCTGTTATTGGTTTTTAGGATGCCTGTGAGGGAAAACCCCCACTTTTAAGTAATTCTAGGAATGTAAATATAAGATTAAATAAAACAGTGTAAGCCAAAAATCTGTCTACAGAGAAGAGTGTTCAAAGCTTCAAGATGATAGTATCATTATCATGGTCTCTGATCACAAATTTACTTTGTAAAGTATTGCACTTACAAAAGATGCTGTGTCAGTAAGACACAATTAAAGGAGCACTATAATGCCAGGAACACAAACGTGTTTTCCTGGCAATATAGGGTCATTATGTCCCCCCCACCCTCAGGTCATTAGGTCCCCCAATCCCCTTCAGCCACTTACCTTTCTCCAGCGCTGGGCTCCCTCTCTCCACCCCCTGCCGACGTCAGATCCGAATTTGCATGCGTGGCAAGAGCCGAGCGCACATTCAAACAGCCATATGAAAGCATTACTCAATGCTTTTCTTTGGATGTCCAGTGTCTTCTCACTGCGATTTTCACGGTGAGAATCGTGGAAGTGCCTCTAGCGGCTGTCAGTGAGACAGCCACTAGAGGCTGGATTAACCCATATGTAAGCTGCAGGGTTAAAAATAGAGGGACCTGGCACCCAGACAACTTCATTGAGCTGAAGTGGTCTGGGTGCCGATAGTGGTCCTTTAATGCCAACTGGGGGACATTGAGTAAACTACTTCTGTTCTGTTTGCAGAGTTAAAGGGGCACTCTGAATCCCTAAACTACTTTAACATGTGCCCCTTGTCCTCATTCATGATAGTGCCCATTTCAAGAAAAAAAACAAGAGGGTTTCCTGGTTCATTATGCTTGATTGTTCAAAAGGAAGTGAAGAGCTGCCATAGTGTAACATTAGTCAAGAGAAGCTTTCTACTCGGCGTTGTCACTATGGGCCACTTTGATTGGCATATTTGCAGAGTACAGGAAAGGGAGACGGTCGTCAATGACATCAGCGAGAGTGTACTTGCCCGTGGATGAAAATATAAGTAATATTTATTTGTTTTTATTGTGGAGGAGAGACCAGGTGCTGTAAAACTGAATATTGCTTTATTTGTTTTAGTGGGTGTCTGTCAGGATTATAATTGATGCAGCACGCAGAACAGTATCACACCAAAGACTAAGGATAACGTTTAACCGGACCTTATAATGGCTGGACTTAACGTACCGGAGAATAGTCAAAATACTTGCCGAGGTCAGGGACACAGAACGTGACACAATGATGAGGAAAGCCAGAAGTCAAGAATACCAGAAATCAGGGAAGTCAAAACAAAGCCAAAGTCAAATACCAGAAAAAAAACACGATCAGGAACACACTCTCGGATAACCAGCTAGTGGAAACCACGACAGGGCACTGACCAAAAGGTAATTTAAGTATAAATAACCCTTTTGAGGCTGTATATTGGTTGTGTATTGGTTGTCTCTGGCCTCTGACCCCAAAACGTGCGTGCGCGTCTATGACGTGACCTATTAAAACTGGGACCGCAGCAGCTAGCGTCTCTAGGAACGGCGTACTCGCTGGGGACAGGAATGGAAGGAGGTCGGGCAGCGGTTTGCCACGACCAAGGTAAGTATATAAAATCTCTGTTGGCATGGCCGCTTAGTTTATGTGCGGCCACACCGGCAGAAGAACGGGGAGTCGTGACAGTGTCCCTTTAAACAACTTATCACCTGTTTGCATCTCTATTTCTTATGACTGCCCTACAGCAACAATTCTGAACAAATAAACAAAAATTGCTAATTTTGTGTATGCCCTCAACAGAAAAATAACTTTAATAAAACACATAATCGCTAACTTTTGTTATGCTGTAAGTAATGAAAATATAATATTGCTACTTTTTAGAATACTGCATAAAACTAAATTTGCATTACATATTTTCATAGCCTATTATACTTTTCGCCGAAACGTTGATCTGCTCGTTTACTATATGGCATAAAGAACCTTATATAAGAAAGACCGTGAGTGCAGCCCATATGTTTATCTATTTTGCATTAACAAACCCCAGGACTGGCACCCGGCATTTGCACAACTGAGTTCAGCCTGAGTGCAAGGACTATATATATATATATATATATATATTCCGGTGTGCCATAAAAATAATAAAATTGAGCTTATGCCTAACCTATTTCCAGCACCACGGAGTCTACCTCAGGGTGCTTAACTCTCCTCCTCCTGTGATGTCATGGAGGTAGCATAGCTTCCTCCACAATAGTCCAATCGAGAACCTGATGCACATGCTTGGCTAGTGGCGCGAGCACATCAAAGCTTTGATTGAATGCTTTCATATGGAAGCAGCAACATCACATGGCAGAGTTTTACTTGGTCGATTTAGTAGCAGTATCTCCGCGTAACAGCCACTGGAGGAAGCGTGTTTAACTCTTCAAAGTAAACATTGCTGCTTCTGTAAAATTGCAATGTTTTACCTTGAATAGTTAAATTGAAAAGACAACTGCGAGAAGACACTGCCGTCCATAGGAAAGCATTGAGAAATGCTTTCTATGGACTGATTGGATGCACGCGCGTCAGAAGAGGGAGGAGAGTCCCCAGCGCCAAGTGAGCCCGGCACCTAGAGCCCGGTGGGAGGGGGCCATAAGGGTGGGGGTGACCTATTAACACTATAGGGACAGGAAAACGAGTTTGTTTTCCTGGCACTATAGTGGTCCTTTAAGAAAGAATAAACTTAACATGTAACACTAAAATTGAAAAATCATCAATGTTACTATGGTATATGGCAATAAACATTTTAGCACAATGTTGTACAGTAGAATCTTCTCGTATAAATGAGCATTACATTCGCCAGCAAAAACATTTTTCAGCTTCCTGGTTTCAAAAATGTATGTGCGCATTAGATTCGCGTAACTACGGTAAATAACATATTTGCCCCTTGTGATTACTTCCATGGAACAGTTCTGTAGAAACACTGCCTTTACGTAAGATGTCTTAGAGTGACCTCTTTGTAGTACTTCAAATTAGCATGCAACTTATGTGCAGCCGTAAATAAATATGAAGTGAATTCACATACATGCAGCCCATTTAATTAGGGAAACTAGTAAAAGACACAAATTGCCAGTAACCGTGATTTTAATAGAGCCCTGTAGAATGTATTTTCCATAGGCACCCAGCACCTTTATTAAAGAATAGTGATATGATTGCTGAGACAGGCCAGTTGCAATAAATATGATTTCCCCAACAGTATCATGTAATGAATGTTTATCAGTGCCTCGTATTGTTTGGCAGGGCTTTAATCTAAAGTTAATGGAAAACATTTGCCGGGTATTTACAGTGATTCCTAGAAAGAGTTATATGCAAATGGGTATTCACTGGAAACAACATAATTCTAAACAAGTGGAGGCATTTAAATGGTAATATTAATTTTCAACATTTTAATGGCGGTTTCCTTGACTACTTGGCATGCCAGATCATCGTACTAATTATCTAAACAATAAGGTATTTCAATTATTCTGATTATTATTTAGGTAGGATGAGTAATTAAGCACTAGTGTTTAATGTACAAACTGAAGTACCTGCACTCGAATAAAAAATATTCACCAGCATAAATAACAATATTTCATAATTTTCAAACAATCTTAGGTCACCGTATTACTGACAGGAAATCATTAGAAATATAGGATTCAAACAAAAAAAATATATATTTCTTTCTTGCTATTCCTGCATGCTTCACAGGTAAATCTGGGAGATTATCTAATTTAGATTGTAAACTCATTTAAGCAGGGTCTTAATTACCTCTTGTTCTAGTAGGTCAAATTTATGCATTGAACTTATGTGTATGTCTTGTGAGCCCTTTGTACCACACTACGGAATATGGTGATACTTTATAAATAATAATTTCATATTATCAACTAGAACTCAGTCAGACTTATCAACAACAAAAAACTCTCACAAGCACAAACAATATTTGTTCATAAGCATGTATTTCCTTTACATGGAATTGTTGGAACACTTGCTGAAATGCTGAAGTGTCTACAATATCATATTTGTGGCTGTTAATAAAATTACTGATCTTTTAGAAATCGTCAATTTTAAAATTAGGGACAGAAACACAGCTAAGTGACAACCAGGTTGTTTTTCTCTTGCTTCTGTCCACATAAAAGCCACAACCGAATTCATGAGCGCGCTAATGGCTCCAGCACAGAGGCTTCCCAATGAGAAGCCTCTGATTGGTGTATTCCCTGGCACACACTGAAAGTCTTTGTTGGGGAAAGATGGGAGGGCTTGCAAAGGCTGCAGACAACAGGTCTGTAGCTTTAAGAGAGATTTTTTTTTTTTAATTCTTCTCTTTGTTGTATTGCCTGTTTTTTTTGAATATCATTATCAGCAGTGATGCTCACTTCAACAAGCCAGCATGTAGTTACAGGTTTCATTTGTTGCTCAGGAGATTAAAACGTGCAGTGCTGGGTTCAGATTAAAAAGTGCAGTTCTAGGTTATTCTTGCAGAGGAAAGCCTGACGCACAGCATGATTTATTCCAGACATGCATTCCACCCTAGTGAATCCACCTTGTCTGCAACTGTAAATGGTTTTCAAGAACAGGCACATTCACAAGAAAAAGTAATTCAGGTCCCCAGGTGTACACACTTCTTTGGAATAATTGAGTGAATAATATACTACCAAATATGCAAACCTACAAATACATACATATGTATGTGTATCATTTACCATTTAGTCTCTGCCCTTCCTTGGTTAAATGCATCACAGAGCTCCCCATGAATAATACTGACAGCAAAGTACATTTGATCCAAATTAAATCCGTAATTTGCGTAAATAGAATACTATGTTCTTACTCTAAATTACTTAATTACATAAATGGCTATCACTAGGTCATGAATTCGCTAATGCCATTTATAAATGTTGGTAGGTTGTTTTCATTTGATGTACTCTCATGCAGTCCTTTGCCACTCAGCACAGAATGTACCATGCTATGTTATCAATATGAGTTTGAAAGGGTATTTCAAACTTTTGGGCTCCTCTTTTAAATTATAAATTGTATTTGGAGTTATTCAGGATTTTAGGCCAAATTAGCCGAGATGAAGAATTTCTCCAGTTTGTCTGATTTTTTTCTAATGTTTGCAATCCCCTGGTAATGTCTCCAAATTCTTTGTGTAGCAAGTAATCTTCAGTGAGTCATGTCTGTTATAGAATTCAAGCCATGCAAATATCTCTATTTTCACACACACTGTCAAGGAAATAGACGAAAGATACTACAGCAAGCAACACTGTCACTAAAAAGTATAGCAGGAATACCTGTATAAAAAAAAAAAAAAAGAAAAAGAAATACAAAAAACTGCACAGCAAGCTTCTAAGAGAAGAAATGTTTAAATATAGTATTTTGCGGAGGAGTATAATTTTCTGTTTTGGTTTCAGGAAAGTGCCAGTCTGCATTAAATTATATGCCATTTGCTCTCTTGGTCTCCAGTTATCCCAAGAGAGTTTACAATTATTACCTCTCAAAAAAACAATGGGAGTCTCTTTCAAACTAGAAATTATAATATCTTACTCTACTAATCCCTAGTTAAATGAACATTACAGTTTGCTGAAGTGGTTATAGTGTTAGAGGAACTCTGGCGCTTCCCTATTGTAAGGAGTCAAACCATTTAAGAACAGTTTGACGTCTTACCTGGGGTCTGCTGGATACCGCTGTCTGCCTCCAATACAGCTGATGGAGAGCAGTGTAGTGGTTATGGTGTTTGGGGTATTCTTTAAGCATTTAAAAACTTGTAGACTAAGATCAGCGAGGGACACCTGCACTGATTGTCTTATTCATGCACAAAGACAATATCTGTAGCCGATTTAAAAGACTTCAGTCTTCATGCTCAGTTATGAACCTTGCATAGGTCATTGTGCAAGGAGCACCCTCTTTTTATAGCCTCTCATTCTATTAAAGTGACACTCCCTTTTTGTTGCAAAGAGTTGAATTGTCCAAGCTTTTCTGCACAGCACACAGTTTATTACTACTGCAACCACTTACAAAAATAACTGGTAGAGGTGGAGCATGTCATGAATGTCTCCACTTCCTCAGAAGTCTTCACAGATAGAGCCTCTATGATGGAGAAAGTGGCATGAAGCTTGCTGATATCAGCTTGCATAGCAGTTTCATTTATGTTTTCACAAAGTAAGCTGTTGAAGCTCTAAACTACATATCCCATAAACACATGATGAACAGTGGTCCATGGGACAAGCTCAGCTCTTCCAATGGAGATAAAGGGAATGCCTATTTTCTGCAAACAGAAAGAAGAATGGAAGCTGAGATCTTGTGTGCTGGTGTATTGTGAAGTAAAGGGTTTTCATTTCTTTACTAGCGATGGGGGGTGTAAACTCAGCCCCGGCAAGTAGAAATTCACCCCTAGTGAGTCCACCATGGATCCTTTAGACTTGCCTAGGACCTGACATTTTGAGACCTGCCATAAAGGAACACTACAATACAAAAACTATTTCTAATGCTTTAGTGTCATATTATCTTTTTATATTCAGAGTCCTATGAATTATTATTATTATTTTTTTATTTTTTTTAAAAGCAGATTTACTCACCTTATTTCCTATGGCGCCAGCCTCTGTGCCGTCGAACCACCTTTGCTGACTAAGATCATCAATCCTAATGTAAGGAAGCATTGGACAAGCCAGTGTACATGTGTGGAAAATCGCCTTGCAGCGCCAATCAGCATCTACTCTCAGAGATGCATTGATTTAATGCATCTATATGGGGAGCGTATATTGTCTCCATGCAGAGCAAACCGAAGAAAGCTCCAAATGACAGCCACTTTAGATGGCATTAGGCAGCAATGTAATCACTGCCTTTTACATTGGCAGTGTTTACACCACTAAATCCGCAGTGGCAGTCTCTATGGCCCAGAACCACTACAATAAGCTGTAGTGGTCTTGGTGCCTATAGTGTCCCTTTAATCACGTATGATTGCCAGGGTTAAAAGATTTTCTGCTACCTTTTGGTCTAAATAGACCCCAATATAGCAGCAACAAATGTATTTTTGTTTGTATGTTTTAATGTATTGTCTACATTTTGCAAATAAAATATGGGTTTTTGCTGAAATTGCTACAGCTGTGTTACTTCACTTGACGTGGGCAAACCCCGTAAATGACTTCAATGGGCTGCGTACATGGTCGTCCACAGCATAGGGCAAGAAGAGAAAAGTGCTCCCCTCCCCTTGGAATTTGCCTTTCCTTCGGTTTGAATTGAACCTAAGAGTGGCAGTGTCTATATATAACTTGGTTTTGATCATGTCTCTTTACTGTGGACACCTCTAGCTATGTACTATCTATTTATGAATAAAAGGTGCCGCAGACAGAACTACTTGTCAAATTAACAAAGGTCACATTGTTGCAGCACAATTTGCTGAGAAGGTGGTTTGTTTTTAACATACAAGACAAACTGTTTATTTCCAGTGCTCCCATGAAAAACAATGGAAAAATCAGGATTTACTGACAATGTCTTTGCAAAACATGAAGATTTGTGTTTGCATGTTTTTAATGCATTTTCCTTATAACATATTAAAAACAGAGTTACACTCCAAGCAAGAATATCACTTGTATCAGTGTTTACAATTTAATATACAAGTGTTAACATATTCTGCGGTGCCATATACATTCATATATATTCAACAGAAAATCCTTGCACTCACTCAAAGTTCTTCAATTATTTATTTTCCCAGGTGCCAGACTAAGGCCATACAATACAATAATAGTAAAGAGAAGTGTGCACTCACAGATTGTAGTAACAATAAACTTTATCCCATCTTTTCTGAAGTTGACATGTTTGTCCTGAGGGACTTGCTGAACCGGCTAATGTAATGGAAGTGACAGATCTGACCCACTGACAAGTACATACATGCAGACATATTATGGCATGTAAAGACATGCAGAGATACTCATTTGTATGACATCTGCATATCTATATCGCCTCCATTGCTGCCTTCCCTGCCTAAGAAGCCTGCTCAAGATACATGTATCAAAGTTCGTATGAGTGTACATCCGATAAACATCTTAACAGATGTGCTCAGCTAATTGCAGAAGGAGACGCTGATCACTAGACTTGGTAAAAAAAAATAAGAGAAACCAAAAGGAAAAAAAAAACAAAGAAGAAAAAAATAGAAGCAATCTTGCTGTACAGCGTTAATTATTAAACCACAATTCTATGAATATACTTTGTAGGCATGGAAGCTTGCAACTCTTGCCTATCTTAGCAAGCATAGGAGGAATAGTGGGTGCTCTCACAATGACAAAGATTTATTGTCATTTTTAGAGGTGATCGTGACCGCATCACTAGCTCGTCTTAAACCTCAAGTCAGAGAGTTGTTCTAGTCTGTCCCAGCTGCTGTTTTCTAGGAATAGATTACAGTAAACCTCCTCTGTGAAAAAACAGAGGAAAAACAGTGACAAGATTCAGGACTGATCAAACAGGAACAACAAACAAAGACACAAAATGACTCTCCAAACAATTTAAATTCACAGAAAAGGTCAAAGTTTCCACTCATGCAAGATATGTTGACCTTTAAGGTATATCCTATTTACAGAGCGCTTGCCTACTCGCATTTGTTTGCACATCTGTTTAATTCATCAATATAAAATGTTTGTTCTTTTTTTTTTATTTCTTTTTACCCTTGTGGTGTTTCCTAAACATCTCCCATGTTATATCCCTGTAATCCAATATCAGACAACCCATACCAGAATTGGATGTAGTGATAGTCAACATTTTAGGTTACACATCAACATAGAGAGGATTTTATTTTACACAATTGGAAAGTACCAAGATTCTGAAAGTATTGTTATAAAGTGATGCACAATCTTCAGAATGGTTTAAAAAGTCCCTATATAAAAATTGCATTTGAAATGCAATGGCACTGTTTTGCATATGCGATCATAAGTGTGTCCATAAAGGCTAGGGTTACACTGCTGATCCCCCAAACTCTAAGGTTGTGGGGATGTGAGTAATTCTAAATACAGCTATAATGGGCTGAATTATGTTAAATGACGAGGCATTAAAGAGCGTAATAAAGCTCCCTTTTTAATGTAAAGATTGTAAATGTGAATCCGTAACCATGGCCCTCCAATTCTATTAATAATTGTATTAATGCTTTGGCAAAAAAATAATAGGAAATAAATCACAACATCTGCTAGAGGGCCAGAAATAGGTATTTGTGCACAAATCAGCACATTTGTGACATTTAAACATACACAAGTAATTCAGCCCTCCTCCCCCCATACACAGCTGTGCTTAGTCTTGGCAACTATCCAGGTGTACAGAGCCTTAACATCTGCATGATAGAAACCTGAAGGGAGCCAGCATCTATATAGATCCAAACCAATATAAATTGCTATAACTAAATACCCATAGAGAACCTTGAATTAATGAGAATTTACAGTTGGGTATTAATTTATAAGTCAAACTACAATATCTGTTTGAAATATGATTGCGTATCGGACGCTATATTGAGTCGTCAAATATTTCAAATTAAACCGGGTTAACATATGATAATTTAACCATTTTTAATGCTTCCAATCCACTTAGGAGACAGTAAGTTTGACGAAACTGCACAACAACCCATTTCAATAACCAGATGTTCATGACATCAAATGTCCCTCTACAAAATGGTACAATGACCCACTAACTAACTAACACCATCAGCCATGGGCGCTTTTAGCGAAGTAACGAGGCATGTTTTTATCTCACTTGAAATATTATATATATATACATATATTAAATAAAACAAATAAAATGTTTCTCACCGTATTATAAAGAGAGTCATTCTCCTGGACCTCTGACAGCTCGCTGAGCTTGCGGTCCCACTGCATCACCGGATCCCCACTTTCCAATATCTCCATGCCAATGCAGTTAATATCGCTTTAAAGAATATAAATATCTATTTATTATAAAAATTAAATAATTAAGAATAATTTATGTGATGTAGAATCTACAGATTTTCTTTCTCAACAGCTGTCAGCCAACAGGCTGTGAGTAATGAGAGTGATAGCTGGGTCTAAATGGGGTTTCTGTGCCCCCAAAGAGTGGATATTGGCTGATAATTCTATTTATTGGCTGCTTAGTGTGCTGGCAGTGATGTTCTCAGGGATTATATAGTAATGTTCATGTAAGGTCTTGGGGCAGGCTCTCTCCTATGTATGAAGCTCAGTTAGGTCCTCCGGGAGGTCAGGGTAATAATACCAGACCTTCTCAACCTCGGATACTCGCTCTCTTCAAAGTCCTCGTTCAGACTGACAGACAATCCCAGCCGTCACCGCCCTCCAGCAATCACGCCCCGCCCCTTCGCCAGCGTAAGCCAATCATCCTCAACAAGGGTTCGACAATCAGGGAAAGCAACCAGTCAGCGAGAGTTCTTGGGCAAAACAGTTAAAGCATTGGAATGTGGGCGTGGTCAGCAGATGTGAAATTAATCCGCTAGCCAATGAGAAAGGGAAATGAGCAGTGACGAGTTCGTGGAAGGCGGGATTTGAGCTTGAATTGGCGTTTTTTCTAACCAATAAAATACTTTACGTGAATATGCGCAGCCAATGAAATATGGACAAGAATATTAGCCTGACCAACTGCGAGCGGAGAGCAGTGCTTCCTGGAACTACTGGGACTAGCTGAGTGGGCACTCAGTGTGGGTACAGGGAGAGGAGAGCTGGCTATCACTGAGCTACCCATCTATAGGGAGAATGCTGCCAGTTATAACTAGCCCATCTATAGGGAGAATGCTGCCAGTTATAACACGGAGCTAGCCCATCTATAGGGAGAATGCTGCCAGTTATAACACAGGGCTAGCCCATCTATAGGGAGAATGCTGCCAGTTATAACACGGGGCTAGCCCGTCTATAGGGAGAATGCTGCCAGTTATAACACGGAGCTAGCCCATCTATAGGGAGAATGCTGCTAGTTATAACACGGAGCTAGCCCATCTATAGGGAGAATGCTGCCAGTTATAACACGGAGCTAGCCCATCTATAGGGAGAATGCTGCCAGTTATAACACGGGGCTAGCCCATCTATAGGGAGAATGCTGCCAGTTATAACACGGGGCTAGCCCATCTATAGGGAGAATGCTGCTAGTTATAACACGGGGCTAGCCCGTCTATAGGGAGAATGCTGCCAGTTATAACACGGAGCTAGCCCGTCTATAGGGAGAATGCTGCCAGTTATAACACGGGGCTAGCCCGTCTATAGGGAGAATGCTGCCAGTTATAACACGGGGCTAGCCCGTCTATAGGGAGAATGCTGCCAGTTATAACACGGGGCTAGCCCGTCTATAGGGGGAATGCTGCCAGTTATAACACGGAGCTAGCCCGTCTATAGGGAGAATGCTGCCAGTTATAACACGGAGCTAGCCCGTCTTTAGGGAGAATGCTGCCAGTTATAACACGGAGCTAGCCCGTCTATAGGGAGAATGCTGCCAGTTATAACACGGGGCTAGCCCGTCTATAGGGAGAATGCTGCCAACGGAGCTAGCCCGTCTATAGGGAGAATGCTGCCAGTTATAACACGGAGCTAGCCCGTCTATAGGGAGAATGCTGCCAGTTATAACACGGAGCTAGCCCGTCTATAGGGAGAATGCTGCCAGTTATAACACGGAGCTAGCCCGTCTATAGGGAGAATGCTGCCAGTTATAACACGGAGCTAGCCCGTCTATAGGGGGAATGCTGCCAGTTATAACACGGAGCTAGCCCGTCTATAGGGAGAATGCTGCCAGTTATAACTAGCCCGTCTATAGGGAGAATGCTGCCAGTTATAACACAGGGCTAGCCCGTCTATAGCGAGAATGCTGCCAGTTAGAACACGGGGCTAGCCCGTCTATAGGGAGAATGCTGCCAGTTAGAACACGGAGCTAGCCCGTCTATAGGGAGAATGCTGCCAGTTAGAACACGGAGCTAGCCCGTCTATAGCGAGAATGCTGCCAGTTATAACACGGGGCTAGCCCGTCTATAGGGAGAATGCTGCCAGTTACCAACATGGGGGCTATGCCGTCTATAGGGAAATACTGCCAGTTATAACTAGCCCGTCTATAGAGAATACTGCCAGTTATAACTAGCCGTCTATAGGGGAGAATACTGCCAGTTACCAACACAGGGCTAACCCGTCTATAGCGAGAATACTGCCAGTTAGAACCACGGGGCTAACCCGTCTATGGAAGAATGCTGCCAGTTAGAACACGGAGCTAACCCGTCTATAGGAGAATACTGCCAGTTATAACGAGGCTAGCCGTCTATAGGAGAATGCTGCCAGTTAGAACCACGGGGCTAGCCGTCTATAGGAGAATGCTGCCAGTTAGAACGAGCTAGCCCGTCTATAGGAAAGAATGCTGCCAGTTAGAACGGAGGCTAGCCGTCTATAGAGAGAATGCTGCCAGTTAGAACGAGGCTAACCGTCTATAGGGAGAATGCTGCCAGTTATAACACGGAGCTAGCCCGTCTATAGGGAGAATGCTGCCAGTTATAACACGGGGCTAGCCCGTCTATAGGGAGAATGCTGCCAGTTAGAACACGGAGCTAGCCCGTCTATAGGGAGAATGCTGCCAGTTAGAACACGGAGCTAGCCCGTCTATAGGGAGAATGCTGCCAGTTATAACACAGGGCTAGCCCGTCTATAGGGAGAATGCTGCCAGTTATAACACGGGGCTAGCCCGTCTATAGCGAGAATGCTGCCAGTTATAACACGGGGCTAGCCCGTCTATAGGGAGAATGCTGCCAGTTAGAACACGGAGCTAGCCCATCTATAGGGAGAATGCTGCCAGTTATAACACGGAGCTAGCCCGTCTATAGGGAGAATGCTGCCAGTTATAACACGGAGCTAGCCCGTCTATAGCGAGAATGCTGCCAGTTATAACACGGGGCTAGCCCGTCTATAGGGAGAATGCTGCCAGTTAGAACACGGAGCTAGCCCGTCTATAGGGAGAATGCTGCCAGTTAGAACACGGAGCTAGCCCGTCTATAGGGAGAATGCTGCCAGTTAGAACACGGAGCTAGCCCGTCTATAGGGAGAATGCTGCCAGTTATAACACAGGGCTAGCCCGTCTATAGGGAGAATGCTGCCAGTTATAACACAGGGCTAGCCCGTCTATAGCGAGAATGCTGCCAGTTATAACACGGGGCTAGCCCGTCTATAGGGAGAATGCTGCCAGTTAGAACACAGGGCTAGCCCGTCTATAGCGAGAATGCTGCCAGTTATAACACAGGGCTAGCCCGTCTATAGCGAGAATGCTGCCAGTTATAACACAGGGCTAGCCCGTCTATAGCGAGAATGCTGCCAGTTATAACACAGGGCTAGCCCGTCTATAGCGAGAATGCTGCCAGTTATAACACGGAGCTGTAACCGTGTGTGGTTCCCTTATTTACCACTATAATGTCTTAAAGCATAGAACTTAGTAGGGCTAACCATACAGATATCTTAGCCATAATTTTATATAGTGTAAGAGATCCTCTATTTACCATATATAAATAATTGAGAATACAATATAAAATAAGGATTGTCTTGGAAGCAAGATTGTCTTTTTGGATATTTATTATATAAAAATATAAAATCCATTATAGCAGAGTTTATACTTTTACTACAGAGAACAATCAGACCCAACAGAGAACAGTAAGTTTTGATATTTTACAACCTGCTAAATATTAACAGGACATTCACAGAACCACTGACTGACACAATGGATGCTGTTAAAGATGGCAAGATAAAACAAACAGAGGACGACAGAAAAGCCACCAGAATCATAGACAGACTGAATCGTGATCTGACATCTGAACCTGCAAATGTGAAGGAGAAGGATGAACAGACAGACGTGATACATTCACAGTTAACATGGAATGTATGAAAAATGAATCATCAACATCATTATAAGAAAGACTCTGGAGAAAACAGACTGAACCTGAATTATCTAATACAGTAAGAAAGAAATTCAAAGATGGAAGCAAAAGGATGCTAGAAAATTGGTTATGGTGTCTCCTTCTTACAGTCTACAGCATTATCATAACATCAACCCTAGCTGTCGTTTTAAAACTGCATTGGGATTATGTTAACAAGCAGGACTATATAACACACTATACAAGTTCTTTGATCGTGAGGACTACCTCCAAGAACTATCTCAAAAGGAGAGACATAGCGCACAGTGAAATGATTGCCTACACTGGTATTTCACAAGGAACCTATTGAGATTATTCCAAAAACCGATTATACATGAGAAAGATGTGATTGGACAATTACAAATCCTAATAATGGAATCAACAATGATGGCAAAGCATGCTGAAAACAGAAAAAGACGGGAAAGATGCTTTGAATGCACCTATGAAGGTGATGCAAGAAAAGACTTTGCCATATAGTTTATCATTGAATGACTACCGCAAACAGCCTTCTTATGCTGAAAAGAAGTGCTATGCTAATTCTGGACATTGCTATTATCCAGACAGAAGATGACCGGAAAAAGAAATAAAGGCTGATAACTGTCAACTCCCAGCTGTTTTTCAAGATGGAACATGGTACTGACAAAACCTGATTGACTATCAAAGCACCTCACAGTACATGACACAGATTGTTAACTACAACTCAGAAAAAGTGGTTAATAGGAAGGATCAGAAGAAGAGGAATATAGATTTCCTACTGGAGTGAAAAACCATCCTGGAACAATATTCTGTAACAATGAACTTTAATGGACATTTGGTGGCATATGAATTTGAATTTGGTAGAAACACATCAATTAACTAAAGAAACCTTGATGCAATTAATAAATAATAACAATACCGGCCTACTAAGAGCAGATGCCCTGACAAGAGAATGGAATATAAAAAGACCAGCAAAACCTGTCAGAAACCTGACATCACGGGACACTTGTACTAAAGCACGATTTGCAGCCTTTCTTAAACTCTACAAATTATGTACATACCTGCAAAGCAAGGAACTCCTGTAAACATAAACACAGAGACATTGATACAACAAAGAATATGTAATGGTTCAGTTGCAGATGTGATCTACCAATGTACTCCTTGCTCTTTTTGTATAGCTATACCAATCAAAACATTAAATGGCTCTCTAGGACCATAGACCAAGGTTTCTTGCTATATTCTGGACTTCCAGGAATGTGGTGCATGGACCGAAAATTATAATTACTAAAGCAATCATGCTATTTTTTCCCTGTATCAGAAATGTGTCAGTGACAATGTGTAATATAATACAGATACTATAATTAATGGTATAAGAAACACATAATGTGTTAATTACAAAGGTGGATAGACTTTGTGAATATCTGAAACGCAATTGAAGATTATTGC